TTGATGATCTTAAAATAAATTTTCACCAAGTCACAAACTGTTTTGCTCCAAATTTAATTGATTGACTGCAGCCACAATATATTAATGTTACTGTTACTATCTTGTTACTGAATATCTTTTGTAATGTTAACTAAGATAGATGTTATGATCTTCCTGAATTCTAAGGTCTTTTATTGTTGCCTGTTGCCAGGAAAACCATCATAGGACCCATAACCATCAGTGCTTCAGATCAGATCTTCATCAAACCTATCAGGTTCATCATGGTATGATCCTCCCTGCCATGATACTCTTCAGTCACTCTACACTCCAACCACCGTGATGGTTCATTGTTTAGATTAGTTCAGTGGTTCACCCTAACCTCAGTAAGTATAGTTTTGTCTCAAGTGGTGGCTGACACACATAGCGTCCAGTAATGGCTTGTGGTAAAGTTAACAGACTGAGCAAGTATGGATTGAGAACCATTGTTGATGAGGTGTAGACTACTTGGATTTTGTATTTATTTTGCTATCATTAAATTTTCAATATTAAAGATTGGCTTCCTAATGTTCTGGGGCCTCATTTATAAAAACTGCGCAGGAGTTGTCGTAAGTTAGTGCGTACGCCTAGTAGCTACGACAAGGCGTGCGCCACGCAAACTCCATATTTAGAAAACCCACCGCACGCACCAAACCACGCAATCTTTGCTTTATAGATCCCACCTGCAACTACAATTTGCGCACGTAAACCTACGTCACGTCACGCCCTCTCCACACCTCCACCTCACCATAAAAGGAGCATGTAAAGTGACTCGTGAATGAGATTTCCCTAAACATGAGCCAATAATCAGTGGGTTTGACCGAGACACGCGGGACAGAGGGAGGAGGACGCTCCACGCAGCACCACGTGATCACGACAAACACTTTATTAAAGACTTTATTAAACCTTGTTTAATAAATAAATACAAAACTAAAAGTGACAACAATGACTCATTTTTTCATTTAATCATTTTTTATAATATTTAGGCAGCACATCTTTGCAGTAAAGCCCATGTGTTTTTTGCTGTTTCAAGAGTTTTATCGCTATATTTTTAAGTCTATCTATGAAGTGTGAGGACTGGCCCTGTATTTATGCATATACACGTAGATACGTGCACGCGCTGATCTGAATGGTCAAATTATGAGCGCGTGCGAGAGATTCAGATGCCCTCCCCTGGAGAGGGAAAGGAGCGCGGGAGGGACACGAGGATACGAGGACACAGATTTAGCATGAAACACATCAGATACACATGTTATTCTGCCAACTAAAGTCCACACGAAACATCCAAACTGCTGAACCTGTGAGTGTGGGTCTGGGTCGGGACGGTCACGGGCATTATTCTGTTCTTCATACAGTCAGAGAGCAGCTCTCATTTGCAAGAGTTCTCCATTACACATAAATGTAGGGAAGATTTTGGTTGGGGTCAGGTTCGGGCAGTAGGCTTCGTGTTGTCCGCAGACTCGGGTCACTCTGGCGCTCGGTGCGTAAAGACTAAAGTAAAAGTGTTAAAGTTGCGTTCATTAAATCAAAGCCTGGCTCCTGCTGCGTCCAAGGGAAGAGTTTTTCTCTCAGGTTGGGTCATTATTTCGTCCTCTGTGTTGGTCACAGACTGTGTTCTATAGAAGTCTATGGTCGCGGTGTGGACTGTGGGAGACTCTGCGCTACACCGAGTCCGGGAACGTGGCCGCGCTCGTGCACGAGTGTCAAATGTATAATATTGTGGAGAATAATGAGTGGAATAAACAGCCCTTCTCCGTATTTTGGCGAACCAACCACTTAAATGCGCAAATCAGAAGGTAATTCTTCTATATACGTGGATTTTCTGATCAAACACTTCCTCAAACTCTGTTCACTTCTGCTTCTCTCCACGAGTGTCGCTTTTTCCCCGTGTCTCCAGACTTTGCGTAGAACTTACAGGAGGTCCCGAGTTGGCGTAGAGTTAAGCAAAGAGCCACACCTTAGGCGAGTTTTATAAATACCGCGGTTGGCGTAGGAAGCGCGCACGCAAGGATTTTTGCGTAAGCAAGCTTTATAAATGAGGCCCCTGGTTTCTCATAACTAATTTCAGTTTCACGTATCAAAAGCATGAATATATTCTGGCATAGTTTGCAAAGGGGGTTCTGCAACTTGGCTAAAGACCAATGATAGTTTTATCTGAGCCAGTTTAGAATGTGCCTTGCTGCTCTGACAGGTCATATTGGAAAGAGCATATTGTTTCACTAGGCCTGTCACAATAATTACTGTATGGACTTACTGTTAAATATATGACAGATGGAACAATCATTTTTTGGAGTCAGCATTTATCATCTGTACATTTTCTTTGCAATACTGAGAAAGTTTTGGTGATTTATTTATTTATTTATTGATTGATTTATTTTTGGCAAAATTTGAGCCATAAAAGGTTGATTTAATAACTCTTGTGACTAATTACAGATGAAAACAATTTATTAAAGTGTTTCATTATTCTTATTATAGATTTATAATACTTTTTGTGGTTTGTTCTGGCAGGGGTGGTAATGTTGTATTTAAAGGACTATATTCTGACTGAGGAAATGTTGGTTAAAAGAAATTTTCCGCTCCAGCATCCATAAAAGTCTGGAATTTCCATCTCGGATGGTAAGTAGCAAACATTTAGTCGTCTTGTTAAATTGTTCATATCCAAGTGTTGGTAAAATAAAAATCAGTAATACTTTTGAGCATATTATCTATCATAAAAACTATATAGGCTGGAAAAAGGGCAGATTAAGAAAAAAAAAAACTTGCAGCAGTTTCAAACAGGGGTGTTTCTGCATTTGTTTCTGTTTTTGTCTTGTGCAGTACTTGACCATCAGCTAAGAAATTTACACACAGACATTTTAGCATATTTTCCAATGGGTTGCTAAATTGTCTGATATCTGTCGAGATAGTAAAAAGATGTATCAACGCATTTTTTTTTGTCAAGACCCCCCACCTCTGTGTAAGTCCTACTGTAACTGTTGAAAATGTTAATGCTCATAAGCTACCTCTAGAGGGCACACTATCCCTATTCCCTCCACTATAGTACACTGAATAAAGTGGTTGGTCTTCTTCTGTTTTCTCTCTCTCTGTCTCTCTGTCTTTGTTTTTTGGGTTTTTTTTTTAATCTATGTTCTGTGGGGGATTAATGCTTTAAAAATTGGCCTATGGGATTGTATTGGCAGAACTGACAAATATAAAATTGACTATTCAGTATTTACACTAATCATGTCTTTGAACAGCTGTTAACCTTTTTAGTTTATTATAGCCCTTCAGAAACTGTGCTGCCATTGTGGTGCTACATACTCTGTGAGTTGAACAGGGTAACACACTTCAAAGGAGGAGTGCACTTATCACTATGGAAAGGGGGTTGAAAATAAAGGTGAGCATGAGCAACTGTATTGATACTGTATACTGGATGTTAGGGGAAATATGTGTTATAACGAATTCTAGAGTTGCAGAGAGAAGCAGGAGAAGTTTATCGTTTACCATCAGTTCAGGACCGGGTGACTTGAATACTCAACACTGCATGTTAGTATTGGCTATCTAAGCCTGACTATGCTTCCACACAAGGTTTAAATGGGAGCTAAGGACAGCCTGGAGACAAATTGGCTGAGATAAAATGAGAAATGTGTAGCACACAGCTTCTGTGAGATGAGTTGACCAGGGAAACTGATAATGCTATAGAAGAATAAATTCCATAACTGGATAAGCACCACTTACATTTACATTTCCCCACTTTATTCTTCCCAGTGCCTAGTGGCATGGAGACACGCTACAGTTGCTGTCAGGGAATAACGGATTACCTACCGGCAAAGTGTTCAAGGTGTTGTATATTCGGTTTACTGTTTTGTTTTGTGGCCTGAAGCTTTCTGTTTTCCTGTCTTTTTTCATTTGCCAGCTGCATGTTTGTAATTCCCTAAGGATAAACAAGTTTGTATCAACTGCACCAAACTCAATGCAGCAAAATTTTTGTAGCCTCTGTATTTTTACACGGCAAAGACTTCACTGCTGAAAAACAAGAGCTAAATTTTGCACTTCTGACTGACCACTTGGTGAACACTTGCATGAACTAACACTGAAGTCTACCACTTTTTTACATACTAAAGTTCAATATTCAACATGTTGTGCAAATAAGACCCTCAAAATAATTTACAATTTAACACTGGCTTGTCAAACTCAGGCCCGGGGGCCAAATTTGGCCCATGGTATATTTATATTTGGCTGGCGAGATCATATCAAATATGTGTTAGAGCTGGCCCACTGGCTATAGATAGATTATAGCAAATTTTTTTAGTTTTTAATTTTGTTATTATTTTATATTATGCTTGTTCTGGATTCAGTGTTTAAGCAAAACTATTATTCAGCATTTATTTTAATAAGAAACGGCTTAACAAGAGAAAATATGCAGATGATGTTGAAATTTTTCAATAAATATTTAGTTTGGCCCACGACTTAGTCCCAGTTTTTAATTTTGGTCCTCTGTGAATTTTAGTTTGACAACCCTGATTTAAGATATTGGGATACTACACATCTTTTTTCCTCCTCACTTTGCGGACAGAATATTGACACCTGAAAAGCAATGTTTTTTTATTTACACATTTATATGTTTTAAGCATATTTACATAGTTAAGACACATGTGACTGAACTATGTTGAGCTAAAATGGCATGTTCCTTTGTATCTATAATAGATCAATGTTTATTTGTTGATACATGGGACAGTGGTAGACACATCTGTGTTCTTTCCCATCATCTTGGTTCATCTCGCATACTCTCACTACACAGCCTCACAGCTGAATATCTCAAGAAGATCATCCAAGAGAGTAATGGGTCAAATGAATATTGTACATGTTTTGGGTAATCTCTTACACTCCTGTACTTTGTTTCAGTGTGTGGCCATGACACTGCACAAGACGCGGTTGCCTGTATGGAACTTATGATCGGGAAGGCCAAAGAAGATGGAAAACTGAAAAAAAATATAATAAACTTATATTAATTTGTTTTCATTATATTATATAATGTTCAGTGGGTCTTGGGTGGACTGGGATACTATGGTGTATAAGTAAAGTCAGACAATTCAATCTGGTGTTTTTCCAAGTCCTTTATGTGAGCCAATCAGCAGCTGACACATCACCTACAATCAGTGACAGGTGTGCTTAAAAGTCAGACCACCTGGCCCTCTAGAATTCTGAGGTTTACAGTGTAGTTACACACGTTTTAATGCTGCTCCTCCAAAAAAAGGGTTAAGAATGTAAGATGATAAAAAATATAGAGAGTACATAAATTATTCTGCTTTTGTTTTTCTGTCCTTTCTGCTGCAGCATTTCCACAAACAAAACTTACAAGTCTTGAGTAAAAGATAAAGGAGGAGCAGTATCACAGACAGAAGAAAAGCGGCCACATCTAGACAATGGTACTGGTACCAGGTAAGGTTGTGGGCTTCCACTCTCAGATGTTTGGCCCCTTTGTTTCTCATCGTAAACTCAATCCAGAATACAGCTTCATCTCGAGGATTTAATGGTCTGTCATGGTGGATAGCTGAAAGGCGCATGGCGTTTGCTTTATAACTAGATGGGAAGTAAAGATTTGTCATAAAATTAAAGTGGGGTTTTTCTTGATGATGGTAAAGAGTCACACAGCAACTTACGATTTGTCATTGATTACAGTGTTGATGGCATTTCGTAGATCCTCTGGCTTTATGAAATTGAACTCCAAAGAAATTGCAGCTCCCTTTTCTGTCATATGGAGCATGTTTTCTGGTTGGTCAGCAAACATTGGGAGACCCACCATAGGTACACCGTGGTAGATGGCCTCGTAGATCCCATTTGTGCCCCCGTGAGTGATGAATGCTTTAGTCTTGGAATGACCTGTTTGAAGTGAGCACATATTCTCATGAGGTTTTGAGATGAGCCTATTCCTGAAATGAATGCTCATTTGGTGTTTTAAAGCTACTCTATGTAACGCTCGTGGGGTATGGTTTGTCACCTACTTGTGTCTCCATGGAGATGGACGGCTATAATGCCATAGTGCATAACATTCTGGGCAATGCAATAACATCTCCATATAGACTAGTTACATAATGCATCTTTTTAAACAACAGATTGCAATTTTAAATGAGTAACAATAAATTACCAAGTAGGTCATTTTGTGGAATCCAGTTGTAAATTCTTGTATTGGCACCCAGAGTTTCAGGTGTCTCCCCACTGTATCTCCAAACCACCTGAAAAGGTTGACCATTTTATTCAGTCATTTATTTTCATTTTGCTAAAGCTTATGACTTTGTATCTCACAGCTTATTTATTGTATGTTTTTTCCCCTTAATGACACATTTTTATCTTACCTTCTGTGGTATCTGAGCCAGGCCTGAAGCTATCATGGTTGCTTTTTCTGCAGTGATGTTATTGATCATGGATCCAAGCGTAAAGACAACAATACCAGCATCTCCGGAACTCTCCACAAACTCTTCTAGATCCTGTGATAGAGGATCTTACTACTCAATTGCAAGTTATTTTAGATTGACATACCAGCGCCACTGAAAAAAATGTACTTGTATCTATATTAATGGTAAAATATCCTTCTCTAAATGTATATGAGGTTAATATCACTTGATTTAGGCCTGTTTTTTATTAAAACCCTAAATGCCTCAAACCAATGTAATATGGACGTGCTTGACCAAGCACACACATACTATGTGAGAGGATTATGAAATTTGGTACAAATATTCCCAACATGATGTGAATATTAACTGGATAGTATTATTGTGTCATAAATCCATACACATATGGATATATACAGTTATATATAGTGGTCATATACAATATAATATAATATATACAATGATTATATAATAATTTGCCCAATAATTTTGCTTTGGTTAGTCAAACGTCACAGTCAAGTCAAAAATGCACGTGTGCATGGTCTTGTTGTTTAAACTAGGACTGGAGCAGGACCCAAACCACATTACAAACAACTAGGAATGTTGTTTTTTCATAATTTAAAAACAAAAGGCTTAAGTCAAGTGTCATCCATCTGATCCCACCAAGATAACGGTTTCTGATATGGCCACCAGGTTTAGGGGCAGAAGACAGAACACAAGCTTTACTATAGCCTATACATTTTATCAGTGGTGCCAGTATTACTTTCTAGTTAAAGGTGTCTTGATGAATTTATACTGTTAATTAATTTTACCTTGGGTAAGGGTTTAGCAGGTCTGCAGTGAATCCCACCCACATATTTGAAGTTGGGAAGAAAAGGATGTGGAAAATTAAAATCCCAGTAAGTTCTCATGAGCCAGATTTCAGCTTTGCTCATGAGCTCACAAGCACTAGTTGGTTTCCCTGTTAAAAAAAACAACAACAACACACAAACACATTTTTAGCACATTAAGTGACCAGTAACTTGTTTACACTGTCTTTTTCTCACCTTTGATGTCTGTATAATATTTATCCAACTTTGACCAAATGACCAAATCTATAACAACATCATTCAATGCATAGTAGAGAAAGTTCCACACTCGCTCTGAAAAGGACATCTTGTCTGTCAGTTTACTCATGGCTCCTGGGACAAAAGAGGGTGGAGCAGGAACCTGACCACAGTGCCTTTCCCAATTATTTGCTAAAGAAAACCGAAGAGAGAAGACCAGCGGTATATCCAAAATATCTGCAACCAAGTCACTTCCCGGGTAGATGGGATCAGAAAACAGGAGATCGTATTTGCCTGCTTTCAATTTGTTCATTAACTCGTCTGATTTCACTACTCCGTCCAAAAATGCCAATGAATATTTCATGTCAGTTTCCATGAGTTCAATAAATCTCATGTAAATCTGCAAGTAATTCTTGTGGTCCATCTCATACATGGAGAACTGTAGAAACTCCTCCATGAATTCCTCGATTTCTTTCAATGAAACTTCAACAGAAAAGAGCTCATAGTCGAAAAGTGCCTGCTCACTTGTGTTCATATACAGGGACGCGCTCGGGGTCAGGACTGTTACCTGGTGCCCGCGGTGGACCAGCTCTTCCAGCACTGGCTTCATGTTGATCCAGTGGCTTCCTTCGGTGTACCACACCAGTATTTTTCCTCCACTGATGGTCCACGGCAGAACAGACAGCAGCACGATACACAGGTACAGTTTCATGGCGACTGTTTGTGAGTAAAACATCGTTGCACTCTGTATGTGCAAACTTGAAGGAAACTAATAATTAACCAGTTACATCAGGACTCTGCCTTAGAGATTCCCTGTGCCACAGTAGATAACAATGGTCCTCAATGACTATAGAGGAAAGGTGAGGGTAAATATCAAATTTGTTTTCATGCTCATTTGTGATACATTTTGATTTTACTATTTTTCAAATACCTCAAAGCAGGCAAAGTGTAGCAATGGAAAAAAAATTCAAGAGGTTTATGCTACTATGTAGATCACTCACATCTGAATAGAAGATGTGAACTGTTTTGCCTTGAATGAGGGATTTGAGATTGTGATCATGTGTAGTAATCTATAGGCCTATAAAGGAAACATTTTTTGACCTGTCTGCAACTACAATAATACTTCCAACCTTTGATCTTTGCATACACTCAAATGTCCATATATAGTATGGAACAGGGATATCACTGAATGTTATATGTTTAAGATACAAAAAAGACTATAGAAAAATTTAAAATGCCCCAAATATTAGTCCTTAGCTAACATACTGTTAACTATTTTCAAGCCAGACAAAGCACTTTGCAAGCAATAAACTCGTTGACAGAAACCTTGCTAATTAAAATGAGGCAGGTGATTTCAGTGACAGGGGCTGGGGGGGGGGGGGGGGGGCTGTGGTAAGGAGGGTGTTGTCTTTAGGAAATGTCACCACAGCTTGTGAGGGCGTTTAAATCTTACTACTGAAGGTTGGCACCCTCATTAACATTGTAGATTCCTTTTGAGGTTGATTTCAGAAGTGCCTGGAAAAACAATACACATTTGAATATTGATTTCAATGCCCTGTTGAGGGACTTGGTGGCCATTCATGCTGTGGAAGTTTTGTGTTGCCCTAGACCTCCGCTAAAGATGTGAGACTCCCTGTAAACAAGGTCTGAATATTAATTGTGATGAACTCAATTTCTCAATTTTGTTACAGGATTTTGGGATTTAACTTTCCTGGACATTCAAGCATCCACCCTTTTCTCATTACAGTGCAGTTTAGTTTTTTAGTTCTCTTTCCTTCATTCGTTCTTTCCACCATAGGGTAAGGGTTACAGCGTATTGCTTTTTGAAGTAGATATTTACATAATCAGATTAGTGTGCATGACTGTCAGTGGACTCCCCCATCCAAGGGTGCTCCAGAAGAGAGAGGTCCTGTCCAGCCCAACAATAGACGCCTCCTTCGCTGGACCACTCCGCACCTGCATCCCACCCACCACTCTCCACAGTCGGAGGGTATGGCTCGTGAGAGAGTGGGGAGAGGAGGGGGTTGAGTGGGAGGGGCAGGGGTTGAGCTGAGATATTTAAACATGCAGACTGTGAATTGGTTTTAAGGGGATAAAGAGCTCAGGGCCTATCGCTTGGCACCCAACTCCAGAAATTCTTTTTCATGAGCGCCTCAGCCCGGAGAGAGAGGGGCTGCCTGCACTGATCTGCTCCATTGTGATAACGGATTCAGACAGTGTGCTAGACGTTGATAAGGAAATGTGCTCTCAATAGACGATTACCCACACACTCGGGAGAGAATAGTCAATCAGGCAAATATACTTGGTTAAGCGAAAGAGAAGGATACAAGCTTGTTATTATTTTCAATGCAGAGTTTTATAATCCTGCAAAAAAGTTGATGTCACAATAAAGCTTGGTGACTATGTAACTAGAGTCTGTAGTTGAGAGTTGTCACATGTCCTTTTTCATTTTGGTGTAAAGTTCAATCAAGCAAGAGAATAATCCTTTTTACTACTAATGTAATGTTTTAATTTATCCTGTATTATCAAATTGCTCTTCAATATTGCATTGTAATAACATGCTAAAGACCTATTGTACAATTTGTTAAAAAAATATGCTTAAAAAGAGTCTCCTGTCTGTTCCCACAGACCTGTAGACAGTGTGTCCAGCTGCTCTGGACCATTAGCCTGTTTAACTGCTCCAGTGAAAGTCTCCCCAGCAGGCTCTGTGTTTACTCTTCAGCTCAGTTAGTTGTTGTCTTTTTGTTGAAAAAGAAGAACATTTAAAGGGATACAATCCCCTTTGTGGGCTGTAACTGTCTGGCCTCAGTAGAAATCAATGACCATTTCCATTCATTTCTAATCTTCATATTTGTCAGGTGAAAAAAGGAAAAGGCTAAAAAAATCAATAGTCAGTGGTCTGTTTAGATAATACTCTGTCTACCAGCAGAGGTGAAGCCCCCTGCAAATGGTCAGTATTTGACTCCACGGGACCTTCAACCCTGAGGTCACAAGTTAAGATGAAACTTTTAGTGTTCATCTCTGGGTCTTAGGACAGAGCGCAGGGGTCAGTGTCCATGTGGTCACCACTTGGGACAAATGTCCTTTGGCCTATTGAGCACACACAAACGTGTCAAATGTGCTTTTCACTTGTGTCTTTGAGAGAGTGAAGTCAAAGGAAGATGAGCAAAGGGTTTATTTACAAATGATTTATTAAATAAATAGTTAAAATAAATAAGAAACTGTATTTACAAACAAATATAAATAAACTAAACAAGAGGTATTACAGTTTTTTCCCACACTTTTACAATCAGTTTAAAGTCTTTGGCAGCATGACATGCAGCAACACATTCAAGACTAAATTCACAGTTTCGTGACATTTAAAGGTGTCCAAAGTAATTTCTTTACTGGGATTAATGAGGGGAAAAAACAAAAAAAAACTTGTGTTATTTAGGTGATGTGGCCATATTTAATGTTGTTGTGTAAAACAAATACAACAAATGCATGTCAGAATTTTAAAGTGCCCTTGGCTCTTTAGCGAAAATTGCAGTCAGTTGGATGAGCCATTATCTATTCAAATGCCTCAGTGAATCTATTTCCTGAAATGAGAACGCCTTAATCCCCTCCATTTTCCTCATCGGCAAAACACTTTCTCCAAACTAAATTAGTTCCAAGCAGACTAACTACAAGGAATACTAAAATAGAGAGTTGAAGGGAATTGTGTATGTACATCCACACTCATGCAAAAGAGAAATAAATACACTGCATGACATTTTAACTTTACAAAGTGTCCATAAACAGCACGGATGATCTTGTGTTTTCATCAACCAGAACGACAAAGCACTTCAGTAACAATTCCACAGTAAGGAGTAAGGAGACCCATTTCATGTCTACCAGGCTTCAGAGCTGTCACAGGAGGAGCCTGGAGAGGGGAGCTCGGTGTCACTGATGAGAGTCCAGGGCTGAGGGGGGGAATGTAGCTGCTCCATGTTGTCTCTGAGCAGGGTGAGCAGAGCCGTGGATGAGGGGCTGGATGCTGGGCTCTGCTTCTCCAGGACTTGCACCAGGAAGTTAATGTAACGCATAGCCAGACGTAGGATCTCATTCTTGCTCAGCTTCTTCTCCGGAGGATGGGTGGGAATCAGCTTTCGGAGCTCAGCGAAGGCAGTGTTGACGTTGTGTTGGCGCCACCGCTCTCGTGTGTTGGTGAATACTTTTCTAGTCATTCTGTGGTAAAGAATAGTCTGTTAGAAGTGCATACTACTAATAAAAATATAAACTATACATTCATATGATTATTGTTCTGATTTATTAATAAACATTAGGAACAAGTTTGAACAATTGCAAAGAAGTATAAATGTGCCTTTTTAAATAAACTAAATAAACTCTTGGTAAGTATTATTTTATGTTGATCCAAACAATTAAGATTTAAAGACACGATAAAGATACATTTTACAACTATCTAAATGGAAAATTGTAACATTACATGTTTAAAAAAATTCATTTTTTGTAATGTAATGATTTAGGGTATATTCACACTGGTTTGATCCTGGTATGTGCCCCATGCAGTCTTGATTTAGACTTGATTTGATTCTGTTTTACTCCTGGTTCAGTTCTAGTCTAGCCCATATTTAGTCCCCTTAAAACTCACTGTCAGACCTTATGCAAAAAATGAATATAATATCAAACAATTCTCTCACCTGTAGGTCCTTTAAGTGTCAGTTGCTATAGGTACTCGTTGTCCACTGCAGCTGTAGACCTGTGTTTTGTGCTCTCAGTTGTGTGCTCTCATCGTCAGTGCGGTGCAGGCGGGTGCAGCACAGAAGAGAGAGAGAGAGGGACAGGATATAGAGAAGCATAGGGCTGACTGCTGCATGCTCACATCTCACATTTTATAGGAGGAGAGCCCCTATTGTGTGACGTGTGTGCGCTGTCAGAAAGCTTCCATTCTCTGCCATTGTTTGTGCTAACTGAAAAAAAAAAGAAAAAAAACAGCCTCCCATGACACCTATAGGATAGGATAGTTCAATTGCCCACTGAACTGACCACGTTTTTTTTTTTTTTTTTTTTTTTTTAGGGGCAGGTTATCGATGTTCCAAAAGATAATATTGTCAGTCAGCAATCATTCTTACAAACTCTTTTAATACTTTTACTTTATACTATCATTGATTTAAAAATGCTAATTGTTAGTTTTTGATCAAATGATCAAAATACCATTACAATTATTTAATACTCGACTATTCACAATTATTCTGATTAATCACAAGCTCTATAATATTGCAGTTATTGTTTTGAATATGCAAAATTATAATACTAAATATTGTCTCTAATGAAAAAGACTGTTAATAACCAATTCTGCTCTTTGTTATGTTATTTAAGTCTATTCATTTTTGGTGGAGCTCAATCAAATGAAAACAAATCAAATCAAAATAATGCTAATAATAAATATACATTTCTATTATATATATATATATATATATATATATATATATATATATATATATATATATATATATATATATATATATATATATATATATATATATATATATATATAGAAATGTATGTATATATATATACTTTTTTTTTTTTTTTTGTCAATATCACCCATGAATTATGTACAAATGGACTTAGTTTAGCTTTCTAAATCTACATGCTCCTTATTATATGATTTGGCGCTTGTTAAATCCTTGAAGGTTAGCGCAAAGGTGAAAAATACATCTGACTGAAGGCAAACTGAGACGTTTTTGTGACTGATCCTTCTCACTGTTGTGGACACTTGTTCTTTCTGTTTCCTGACATTAGGCTTTAACAGCCCTCTATCGCCTGTGGAAAAAAGCTGGATATTTACGACTACTCTACTGTTGAATTTAGCCTGATTGGGTCACAAAATGTAAAAATACTATATCCAGATTGACAGTTGAACAATATAGGTTTTGTTATGACTATGGTAATCTTGTTGAGCCGGTCTAGGGGCCACACATATTTTACAGAGGACATGGGGAGAGCTGCATCCCATCTTACTCCATCTCCCCCTCCCACTTTAAACCTCAGAATAAAAAACACACTGAGTTTAACCAATTGTTACTGTTCTTTTTACACCCTTCAAGTGTTGTTTCAAAGACGCAACCTTCCATAGAAGTCTCTGTGTTGAGTAGGATTTACATAATCCGATTAGGGCCTGGGATTAGCCCCCAGCCTGGAGAACAGGCCCACTGGGGGCTGTCTCTGAATCGGTCATTCATGGGGCTGGATACATACTTAGCACCTGCAGACCGGGTGCTGCAGCTCTCTATCTGAGCACTAGGGCACACATTTCACTAAGGCCAACTGCATAATGTCTCAGTGGAAACCACCCAGGTGAAAGTGACACAACATTTGCAATGACTAATTTGCAACTATAGAGCGCACATTTAATTAATAATAATATTTGATAACACTTTATAATAACTTAACTCTTAATAGCCTAAAAAAGCAGAAACAAATTAAGAACAAATTGTTTATTAAAACAAATTAAAACCACAACTCTTTACTCCTAACCACTTAATAAATTTACTTCATAAACTATTTTTTCTTTATAAATGAAGTCTTTGCTCATGCTAATGATTAAGATGTAGACTAATTTAGGTGTAGTTATTATAAAGTGGTACCAAATATTTTTGAGGACACTGAAGAATTGCATTCTCCTGTTCTGTAAATAATGTTAATAATACAGATCCAGTCAACCCAAATATAGGCACTAACTTTATGGCTACATGATAGTATCTGTTTGCCTCTCAATAAAGAGCACAAGGGTGTGACTTCAACAGCTGTAGTCCATATATAAAGGCTAATGCTATAACCACACTGTTAATTCCCACCATGTTGCTCACATCCTATTCACTCCTGTGGTAATGTGTTGTCAGGGGCAATCACTGCTCCATTACCTTATGCAGCCATCACTAGGACCATCCAGCAAGTGCTTTTGTTCTCCTCTGCTAAAAACAAACTAGTCACAAAATCTTATTGTTGGTCCACAGGCTGTTCAGAGGCAGAGGCCGGAGACAGGGCCGTAAAGATGTGTTGTGGGTAATTGATGGTGGCCAGTCAGGGCTGTCTGTCCCTCGGGTTGTCTTTGTCTGGGGATCATTCCTGAGGGACCAGCTTCACTCTGCTGGCGTGTGATGATAAGCACTCTCTCCACACACTGAGAGGGGCAGATAAGGGGATTTCTCCACTAAATGAGAAAAAAAAAAAAAAAAAAAAGGCCCAACCAGTGGAGCTCCTAAACTGGGTGACTTCACCATCAAAACCACTCCCTATCCATGGGTTTCTGAATTACGAAAAAATGATGATTGTTACAACAATTAAAAATTTAATATTATATCTTTTGAATTGGAAAAGGTGTGAGATCAGAGACACACTAATATAATACAATATAGAAATCCTCAAAATGTTACAAACAACAGAAAGCTGAAATGATGGATGATGGATACCAAAATACAATAACATCCTTTTAAGAGAACCAAATTATTGATTAAAAACAAATTAAAAGATAACATTTGATAAGTGAATAATTTGTATCAATACTTAAAAAGTATAGTTTAGTCTCATTTTGGTCCACTCAAACCTTCTGTACATGTGGTTCTTCTCTTTCACAGCCATAGGTCTGTGTGAATAATCTGTTCAGAATAATTTGAGTCTCGTCTGTCCGTCACTTCTCCCAGGGACTTTCTCATAGCTTAACCTGCTCTTTTTCAATGGTGTCAAACCTGCAAAACAAACGGGCAAAACATCATGCGAATTATAAAACACCATATGATATGAATGTAACCAAGAAGTCATATTTTTATTTTATGGCAGGAATCCACATGTCACACTACAAATTACTGCACCACAATTCCAAATACATCAATATTGAAATCACTTGTTCCGGAGAATATATTTAATAGTATTATAAATGTGATGCTTTTATAAAGAATAATATAAAGCCCCACATAAAATATAATAGCATAAAAACTACTCAAAGCAGAATATGATTTTTATAAATGTATAATAAAAAGGTATACAACTTTATTATATTTTAATAATAGATCATAAAAACATCTTACCTGTGCCGAGCAGAGTTTCAGCATCACCAGCCCTCTTCAGCTCTTTTCCCACAAAGGATTTGGAGCCATAAGGAGCAGAGGCTCTCGTTAATCCTTCTCCACTTTGAAAAGTGAAGTTTGAGCTGAGTCCTGGACCCCAGTCTGCGAACTCATCACAAGGGGGTGTCAGACCATGAGACAGCTGGACCTCACTGTTGTAGCTAAATTCTGATCCTGTCTTAAAGGGACTGTTATACTTCATTTGATGGGTTGTTATGCACAAGTTTTGTTGGGTCAACCTTAAATCTGCCCTTCCAACCATTTTGCCTATAGCCCCAGAACTGCCCCTCAAGTCTGAAGCTTTGGTCCAACTCCTCTGCTTGTAAATGCCTGGCTCTAAAAATGAAGAGGTCAACTCAAATTTCATGTCAGGCACCTGCTCTTCAGTGGACACTGTGTTACAGAAATTGTCCTGAACTCCAAGATCTGGGACTGGGCTCAAATTCAAATGTCGATGATCCCCGCTGCCAATCCAAGTGCTGGTGTGTGCATAGTTCATGGGGACACTTTTTGCAATCACTGCTGGACTCTCACATTTACTCAAGTTTGATGTATGAGTGTACAGAGAAGTGGTGTCACTGAAGAGCTAAGAAAGCAAGACAATAACATCACCATTAACATCATCAATGTATAATACAACTAATTCTCTTTAATATTATTTTACAAATGTAATGATAAATCACTTAATATGAGGCAGTGTTTTCCCATTAATACAGGAGACTAGGGTCCCATAGTCTAAACCTGTTAAATTGGTAACCATCAATCTTCGAATCAGTTCTCAAAAATGTAGACACCAACAACTTTGTTGCTTACTGTATTATCATAACTAAATAATGACTACGTTGGTCAAAAGTCACTGCTTAGTGCCACAACTGTCTCATCAAAATCTACTGGAAATACCGAGATATCTTTATTTTAACAATATCCATTCTTGTATGTATTTATGTAACAGTAAATACTGTGTAAATGAGACTACCTTCAGCACTTTATGTGGCACTTCTGGGAGCATTTCTTTCAGCTCAGACAGAGAAGCAGTGAGAAGCCACTGGAGGCTGGGGGCTCTCCTCAGCATCAACTGACTCACCAAAGGATTAATGCATGGGAAATGCAACAAACATTTTTCCTCCTATTGGGAATAAAACATTATTCATCTTAATTGTGTATTGTGATTTTAAATACTTTTATTCTTACATTAGACTGTATGGCAGTTAACCAGTCTCTGTCCAGGTAAGCAGCTGGGTCCCTCTCACTGCTCATCAAACTGTGGAAACAGATCTGACTGATCCACCTGGCAATTTCCAGTACATACGACACCATCAGCACCTAACAGACAGGGGCATACAGGAACACACAGGGTTGTGGTGGTTGTTGCTTTATTGCTATTTGATACATTATTTATTTAAGTTAGGAAATAAATAAATAAATACATATAATAATACAATTATTTTAAACAAAAAATATATATTTTTTAGATTATTCTTAAGGCAGAGCACATGCTTAATTACAATCTTGTATACATTTATGATATAAAGCAATTGTTTCATTATTTTACCTTTACAACAAGATCTTCTGATTTCATGCTGAAAATCACCAAGGATGAATATACAAGGACCAGGTTGTTAAAAGCTTCACTTGAAAGCCTGCCCACCCAAACAAAAAGAACCGTGTCTTTAAGGAGGTAATGATGAGTATATTATTATAAAGTGTTCGAGTGGACACTGACCCTCCTCCTCGACTGTCTGGGCAGTGCAGAATGAGCCAGCAGCAGCTGTACTGCAGAGAGAGCGCACTTAGCCTCTTTACCAGTTCTTCACTGGAGCTCTCCTGACACAACTCCTCCTGCTTCTACAAACAAACATATAACACTGGAGCCAGTTATGTCTTTCAGAAAAAAAACAACAAAACTATTTACATCTTTCAAATTCAACTGTATATTTTTTTCTTTCACCTTTTATTTAGCCACCTAAGACATGGGTCACAAAGCCCATCAATCTGCCCACAGTTATCGCACTGCTGTTTTCTCCTTGTCCACTAAACCCACTCGTGAATGGCATCATTCTTTAGCCAGTCAAAGGAGTAAAAATAAAGAACATTCTTCTCAACACTGACAAATTTATTAGTTGGAGATTGGAGATTCTCAACCACTATAATTCTATAATTCTAGGGTGACTTATAATTGCGGATAGGTAAATCTCTGTGTATTTAAAGATCTAAAGTTTAAAAAAAGAAAAAAAACATTTGTATTTGACTTGATTTGTAAGTGTAACTGTATGACTGTTCCAAATAGTAGCATGTGGCTTGTATTGTTTTTGTAGTAGAGTGAAATAGGCGATAGTCACGATAATTACTATATTGACTTATCGCTCAATATATAAAAGCTGGAATAATATTTTTTTTGGGGTCTATATTTATTGTGTGTACATTTTCTACATACATTTTACATACATGTATACATTTTGTACATTTGTTTGGCTATGATAAGATTTAGCTGTAAATGGTTTAATTAATAATTTAAATAAACAAACTAAGTTCTAAAGTGTTTCATTCTGCAATTTATTTATTGCAGTAATATTAAATTAAAATATTTTTTGTGGTTTAAAACTGTTATAGGGTTATTGTGTCAGTGGCATAAATTTGTTTCAGTATTATCGTCTGTTGTCTATATTTACTTGTTATTGTGGCAGGTCTAGTGTGAAATGCACTTTACTTCCCCTACCTGAACAATAACAGCGGTTCTCTCATCCACAGTGATCACAACATACTGGTGAGTCCCTCCCAACATCTGCAAAGTCATGGTGTGATTTCTCTCCAAGACTGTAATGTTAAACCTGCAAGACCAAACACAGCAATAAGGATCATTTTGTTTAACACACAGAAAAAACAAATCTACACTGCTGAACGTACATGGACTCCAGTGTCTGCAGCAGCGTGGGACACTTCAGAAGACCCTCTGTCACAAATAGCACATGAGGCACACTGTCCTCCAATCGCTGCAGAGAAAGCTCTAGATCGGAAACATACATTTGTTAAAAATACAATATTGCATTACATTAAACCGCACATTAATAGTTTTATCAACTTTGACTGAATGACACTTTTGAATTATACAAAAATCACAGTATTTCTCTTCACAAAAAACAAGAAAACTGTATGTAGTGTATTTTACTAGATAATATCTCCACACCTTTACCACATACAGTATCATAATAGTTATTTTCTCACCATTGCCTGGAATAACAGTGCTGAAACTGACATGGGTGAGACCCCGCTCTCTGCAAACTGTGGCCCATGGGGAGGGTCCAGGGTGGTCATACTCCACCAGCCCAAAGAAGTGTTGCCAGGGGAAGTCTGGCCCTATATGGTCCTCACACACAAGTGCACACTCACTGCTAAAAATACTGAGGAGCAGAGAGGAATACGTAAAGATGATAAATTAATTAGACCACCTCTTTTTATACTTTGAAATATAGATCCCTTTAATTTTCCAAATTGATACAGTGCAGCTGATGTTCCCTGGGGGTGTAATGCTAAGTGTAAGCATTCTCTGTTTGAGGCTTTAGACATTAATCTGACCATAAAGAACTGACTTAGTGTGTATTGTGTCTCCATGGTAATTGGTGAAAATTCCACCAATACACATACATGTAGAACACCCCCAGCATGATGCCACTGCAAAGTATCAAAAAACAGTATTGTGTAAATACAAAAATGCTTAATAATAATGACACCATTAGCCTTAATAACGCATGAACAAATGTTTTTTTTAAGAATGATTCAGGGTTAGTAACTTCTTAATTAAGGGGTTAAAGTACCTGCTGACAACACTGGCACCGTTCAGCTTCACCTTATCTTTCTCGAGATGAAGGTCAGCAACAGCAGCTGCACCTAAATAAATTACACACGACATTGCCATAAAGGTGACACTGCAAATGTAAAAATCAACTATGTTTTCAATATTCCTAGATTTGATGACAGACAAAAACATGCTTACCAATCAGCTGATGAAGACAACCAAGTACAATGGATCTTGTATTGTCCAAGTTTGTAATTAAGACAAGTATCTGCAGAATGTATTGAAAAACAGAAAATATCAGGTCATGCTTGTTTGTTCTAAAGATGTAAATTAATTGTAAATTTGAGGGTATTGTGGGGAGTGAAATCTCTAAACAGTCACTTCACTGGGAATGTTTGCTTTGTGGAAATCAAAAATCAAGTCCCTGTGAGGCAAATTCTTTAAAAATTGATCTTCTACATGGGTTAAAGTTACAATATCGGTTAGTTTAGGTTAGGTTAAGAGTTAAGGTTGAGATCAAGATCATTCTCCAAGAAATTTATGGACCTTAATGTAGTGTCCCCACAAAGCAAGTTGAAGTGTGTGTGTTTTATCAGTACAGATATACTGAGTCAAAAAGGATAGTTTGATAATATGGCTTACTTTGTTAGCCATATTACTGTCTTTTCTGTTGTTGAACCATGTTCCCAGTAGCCCCTTTAATTCCAGTAGTTTGGGATTAGACTCCTGTTTCTTGTGACTGAGGAAAAGTATGATCTGCAGCCTTTTCAGTAACTCTCTGAACCTCTTCTCACCACTCATATTTTTCTTTTTCAAAAACTCTTGAAGGACACAGAAAATATATTGTTATTAAATGGTTACAGTGGCCACTATAAAGAATACTGTTGTATTGTTCACTGACCTAGACCACAGCTGAGGCCACACTTCAATAGCAGCTCCTTAAATGTCACCAACACATGAATCAAAGTCACCTGGTTGAAAAGCTGTTCCTGATCTGCAAAATATATTTGGTCATCTTAACCTACCTAGTAGTGTTGGACACAATAACCACAACTAATGATTTATATTTGTCTGATTGGGACTGGCCTAAACATTTAAACAGTATTTCAATTTTCAGTTGTTCAGTTAAAATGTGGGACAGTCTTCGTGGAGGCAATGGTTTCATTTGTGCATATGACTGTGCTTTCCTTTTTTAAATTTGTTTGTTTGTATTGTGATTTCAATGCATCTTTTTTGTTCTAAAAAGCACTTTGAATTATTTTGTGTATACATGTGCTGTACAAATGACTTGCCTTGTGCCATTAGAATACATTTATACAAATACTTTAGTTTTAGTTTTGTCATTATTATTATTTTATTATTATTTCTTACCTCTAATCAGGTCAGCATTGTGTGTATTGTTCCTACTGAGAGCTTTCTCCTGCTGTTTAACCAGGAAGTGTGTTTGGTCCATTGTGAGACATATGAAGTCTCCCCAAACCTTCTGGTCGAGACCCAGTTTATGAGCAAAGTTCATATAAGGCAGAGCAAAGGACAACACCTCACAGTAGGCAAGGCACTGGCTCTCTGTAACGCACATACATATTTCAGTTATTTATGTTAAACATGACTTAAACAAGTTATGTCATCTTTTGCCATACCAGTTGCTTGGACTTGTACCTCTACACTGCGTTGTCTTTGCAGTTGAGTGGACGATTCATTGGAGTGAATGGTCAGTGGAGACATACATTTGGTGACTACTTCGCTCTGATCTCGAGAGGCATTTCTTGATACAACTGCTTTCAAATACAGTCTTTCCATCCTTTGACACTGGTCAGTAGTTCGTGGCTCACTGTGAAAAACCTGCCTGGTCACATCTAAAATTATATATAAAAAAAATCAACTAAAGAAACAATAACACAAAAAATACAACCAAATAAAATGTAATTAATATCCTCATTGATAAGACTGTAATTCCTCTTATAACCACAAGAGTGTGCCAAGTCTCTATTGTTCTTATACTGGAATGTTTAGACAGTTTCAGCCCTGGATTTGTTACAATTCTTCAAAACTATAAATCAGTAAAAAGCCCCATATATAACATTGTTATATAAAGTCATGCATTTATGGAATTCCTTAAAGGGACTATATTACACTCATTTCTATGTTATGTTGCTGTTCCATAATTATGAACTTTATACTTTGAGTTGTGTTTTGTTTCATGTTTAACACACAAACCATGCATATTTAGGCTGAATTCTTCTCTCAAATGGAAAACACTCTGTTCCACCTTGTGATGTCATGTGAGGTCATGCACAGCAAGTGCTCCACTGTGTTTTAAAACACCATACACCTTCCCTGGAATCATTTGGATAATCATCCTGTGCCAATCTCTACTGAACAAAAGTTAAAAGGTAGCTGTTAGCTTGCAAACTACTGCTTCACGTCATCTCAAGGTAGAACAGGACATTTTGAGCTTTGGAGATGTAGACTAACAATAAAGAATTAGTCAAACAAGTGTGAATGACTCAAAACATTGTGTGTTTTTGATAATGTAATATTATAACACGGTTTAAAGCTCACAAGAGTCAATTTTGTGTAATATAGGACCCTTACTGAAACAATAAAAAATCTGAAAAAATCAGTACCTGCACTGGGCTGTGGATTGACAGTGACTGGTGGGGCTTGCTGAGATCGGAGCAAGATGAAGGTGGAGAGAGAGTCCAGGTCTTTGCAGGGAGGATCCTCCAAAACACTTTCAGGACTGTCTCTTCTTAATGGCACAGTCTGCTTAATTGGCTGTGACTGACCTTTTTCTTTTGTCTTCAGACAAATGCCATTTTGATTTGAAGCTTTATCAGGGCCAGAGTTCACATTTTCTTTTTGCAGATGACAGTAGATCAAAGGCTCATTTTTCTGTGCTTTACTCTTTTGTGACACAGGATCTAAGGTTGGTTCTTCAGGATCCAAGGATCTGGGTGTTGGAATGCTAGGGATGGAACCTGTAAAATACATAACTATCATACAAAAAATTTTAATGATAAATGCAAGCTGTGTAGATGATGATTTTTATATCCCTTTGTTTGGGGTAGGGTTAAAATGTAAAATGTACGCACTTACAGTCTTGTTCAGGAGAAATCTTTTGGAACTTTTCCACATCTGTCTTTGAGGGAGGAATATTGGATTGGATGCTCTCAGTAAAATCACAAGAGCTGCAAAAACGTGTCGATAGCACTTCAGTTTCTAGTGTTGACTCATCACTAAAAGTTTTTTGTTTTTCAGACTTTAAAATCCCCAATGCTTGTGGTAAAGGATGAAAATCAACTGGCGTCTCATACATTTGCGGCTCTGAAAGATATTAATTGAGAAATAATTAGATAATAACATGCAAATTATAGGGCTACTATTGTGCTAATTTCTGATCTAAATTATAATGTTGTTTCCTCATCAACACACAAACCCCGCATTTTAAGCTGAGTTATTCTCTCAGATAAACTAAACTAAAGGTAAAAGGTATCTGTTAACTTGAAAATTACCACTGCATGACATCAAGGTGGACCAGAGCATTTTAAGCTTGGAGATAATAATAAAGCATTATTCAAACATTTGTGAATGAAACAAAGCCCAACTCCAGGTATGTTTTTGAGGAGGTACCATTATAACATGGCTTAAAGCTCACACCAATCTATTTTGTGTAATAAATTCTAAATTGAACATATTTTTACCTGTCAACATAAAGCTGACCACAAATGTGGGGTGCTTTTCTGCTGTCCACAAAGCCATTTCAAGTTCCCTCTGGTCTCTCAACGACCCATAAGATCTTTTTGAAAAAACAAACAAAAAACAGCATACATTTATTTGTCAACTTTCCTGCCTTTACTAAGTTCTCATAGTTTTGTGTCAAACTCACATCTTTCCTTGTGGTGAAAGAGGTTCCTTTGAAAGTGTAGAGGTGGACAGACAGATATTGGTGCAGTCTTTGCGTAAAGGGCTTAAAGTCAAGTCAACTTCCATATCAGCTGCCGTTTTCATTTGTTCTAAAAGTAAACATGATATTAAAATGTTGAAGTAAAAGTTGTGTACTGTATAAACATTATGGTACATTGAATTACCTGTAGGCTCTGCATCTGCAATTCCTTCCACTGAAATCTCTGTTGTTTGCTCCTCATATATTTCCACTTGAGAAATATTTTGATTTGCTGAATAATAAATATGCAACATGTAATAATTTAAAGTCTAATTTTGTCTTTGTTTGGGCTTATTCACCTGTTGCACTTACCCCTCTGAATAATTTCATTGACTGAAAGTTGCTCATTCATTTCTTCCGGTTTTATCATCAAAAGATCATAGATTTTTGACAATCCAGCGCAATCTTCCCTCTCAAAAGCACAAGTCTCCACTATATTTGGTAATACCAGCTTCTACAAAATACAAAATATTCTTAGTGATTTCACAAATTAAAAGTACTGAAATAATTTGTTTTTAATAATAATCAATAATTTGTTTGATGCTACTTGAAAACCTCATCATTTAATTGGACTTTTGAAAATTCCTCAAGATTGATTGTAGAAGATAAGCTGTCTCTAGTGAACGATTGAGGCAGTATTTCATAAGGTTCACAGCGTCTTAAAAACAAGAATAAGAGGCATCATTACAAAATCTAAGTAAAGTCTCTATAAGATTAGACAAATGGTAAACAAGATCAGCGTTGTCACCCATGAATCATGTCTTCAGAGATGTTATCATGTATTAAGCTAGACAGGGGGTCCTCCACTGGAAGTATTCTTAGCCTCGACAGTTTGATTTTGAGCGAAGGCAAATGCCTCTTAAACTGTTTAAGGTGGTCCATTTCCATTATTTCTTCTGGTAAGTAGAGGTCTTTAAAATTCATAGTCTATTAGTAATGACTTAAGGATGGAATTTACAGTGTCAGATATAACTTTTAAAAGTACCTTGCTTTTCATTTTGCAGGTTTATCTGGTCTATTTGCATCTTTGAAAACATTTCCTGAAATGGGTCTGTTGATTCTGTCAAAATATTTTGAGCCTCACTGATGTCCAGCTCATTAAGAGAGTCAGGAATAGAGCTCGGTATAACTTCATTTTCTTCTTGCAAATGGTTCATACAGCCATTATATCTGCAACGTTATAACAATGTACAAGGATTATTGCATGAAAATGCAAAAATACACTTTAAAATGTATAAAGAGAGAGTACCTTTCTGGGATGTTGATAGTTTGTCTGTTCTTCTTTCTCAGGTCATCGAGCACAGAATAATTAAGAAAGAGTTTGGACGATGATACTACATTTCCTGTAAAATGTATGAAGTATTTGTATTTGATAAGCTGAATTTGTTTGGAGATGCAGCACTATGGTTACCATGGTTACCTATGCTCCATGGGGTCCTGTACATGTAGTCAGGCAGGTATCCGCTGTGGGCGTACTGGTCACTGGTCCCAGTCAGATAAGGTGCAGGCAGAGCCAAAAGGTCAGTCATGACTTTAAAGCTGGTGGATGTCTGGAAAACAAAAAAACACTTCTTCATTTCAAATTAACGCCATTAATTTGCAGACCATTGCAATGGCAGTGGAGTGGCTGTAGTCCAGTCAATGAATGACCCAGGTTGGAAAAAAATGTTAACAAAGCTTTTTCACTTGAAACATGTTTATTAGTAGTATTAGTTCACATGAAAAAGTCCACCGAAATCTGACCACTGGAACCATGTTTTTAAAGGGGAGAAAAAAACTCAGTTTAATGCCAAATTCAAGATGGCCGCCATCCAAAGCCTCATACATAAATGGGCCTCATTTTGAGACCAGTTGCCTTATTACATTAGTAAGTGTGTTAGTTTTAGCAACTCAACAACATGCCGCTTAATTTTGTTCAACAATTGGACAGTTCAAGATCAAGGTCAATGAAAATTGGCCCGAGTTCACTCTTTTGCTTAATTTTTCGGCTAAATAGAACTTCATTACCATTTTATGGTGTAAAATGAAAGAAACAACTGTCCTAATCTCACTCCTTTGTCCTCTCTTAGAGAACTGGCCAGTCACCTGGAAGAAGTTTTACTATCGATCACTGAACACTCTAAATTAGAATGCCATGCTTAAACTGAACAGTAGTTGTATATCTGCTTTGTTTTAACATATCAGTCATGCTAAAGTATTTGTTTTGATGACATTAAATATTATTTGGCACTGCTACCGCTAATACAATTCAATCAAAGTCAAACTGTGTGGGCTTTCTACCATGATTCGAAACAAAGTCAATGCAAACTCATGACGAGCAAATTATTAACTTGTTCTTACCTTGATTCACAAGACAGTCATTCTTCCCCATCATTATCAAAGTTGCTGCTCTCTGGTTGTGAGACCATTTGGTGACACTGTCCAGCCCCAGTCTACAAGTGGGAGATAATTTCTGCACCATGCTTGTACCTGGTGATATGTCTTATAGCAGGATTTGTTGTTGGTAGAAGTTTCTCACTTCACTCTAGCTTTCAGTATCTTCTTAAGATGAACATAGTGACATGAAAACAACAAATTGTTTCCAAAAAAGCTTTCTAGCTCATGGTAAGGTGCATTTCTGAAAAAACTGAAACAGAAGCTCCAACATCATTACCCATCCTACGGCAGTGCACTGCATCCCTGGTGCTAGACTGATGATAACTGTTGAAAATGACAAGTGCATTTAAATAGTTTGCCTCACATGTTGGATGTATATTTCACATATCTGGGAATAGGCGGAATGTTCATGCCATGCAAATTTATGAAGCAATCCACCCCCAATCAATAACATACTGTAAACCTGTAGTTGGTAGCTTGGGCACAATGCATATGGCATCAAGCTTCAAAAGATAATGGCTAAATTCTGCCTTGTCTCCAGTTTACATTTTGAGGTTTTTGCTGAAAAGAGATGCTGGTAAACTGAATTCTGAAGCGAAATTCTGATATAAATACCCCTGACCAGTTCACCTCAAAAACTGTTCCCAGTCTCCATGATGGGTAAAAGTATGTTACACATAACCAACAAAAGGAATAACAAATTGTATTGCTGTGGCAGAATGAGATATTTTGATAAAAAAGTAATAAATATTATATAAAATAACACAATTTTTTTCAGTTGCTTATGCTGACCTTGATATTCATGCATGAACAACAGACCTTACATATGCCCACACGTGATAGAAAACAAAAGAGCATCTAAAATGAGTAAAAACCAGCACAACAAGTACGTTTATAAGGCAACTGGTTTCAACATAAAGCCTCTTGTTGTATGAGATTGTGACTGGCAGCCATTGGATTTGGCATCAAATCGAGGGTCTTCTCCCCCTTAAAAAAACATGGTTCCAGTGGTCAAATTTCGGTGGACTTTTTTGTGTGAAATAATATACCACTAATAAACATGTTTCAAGTGAGAAAGCTCTGTCAACATTTTTTTCCAACTTAGCCTACATTTTGTTGTTCGTTTAAGAGACTACTGGCTGCTGTTGTGGATACCTGGCTGAGCAGTTTTTGAAACTTTTAGATTTTGAGCTCAGTTTTTAATATCATATCATGGGATTTTAATCAAGTAAAAAGTGCAGCATGTGCAGTTTAAAGGACACAAGTAAGGGTCTGTTGGATTGTTTGTGGGTGTGTATTGTTTGCTTTTCCCATACCCATGAATACTGTGCAAGAGGCTAGCTAAGGAGCTAGCTATGGATATTTGAAATACTACAGGTTTTTTACAACATATGTGGCAGGAAATGTGACAAAAAACTTTCCAGAGAAAAACTACTTTGAGGGAATGGACCATTTCATCAGAGTGAAACACCAGAGTGGAGTAAGAGTAAGGCCGTTCCTGTTCACTTTGTTTCCCCTGGACACTGTTGTGATACTGCAGGACACATGGGAGGGACACCTTTGGCTCTTCTCTTCAAACTGGCATAAATCTGCAGACCCTACCTGACCTGTGCTGTTGTGCTGCACTGGGACCTTTCACTGAAACTCAAAGGCAAACTGCATCAGTTTGCTGCCGCAAAACTTTAATTTCCCTCGGGAGTAATCTCTCTCTAATAGAAATGTTCTGAAACAAAATAATTTCGTTTTTCGTGCTTTCCAAATGACCAAAAGCAAACGTTATATAATTAAGATTTTTCTTTTGGCAACCATAGATCATCATTATCAACACCAAAAGTCCTTACCTCGAAAACATAGTCGAGGTTCTTGAACACCACAGCTGGAAATACACCGTGGAATTTGTTTTCAGACCTTAAAGTGAAAAAAAAAAAACAAAAAAAAAACTAGATACATTTCATATACAAAACGAGTTACCAAATATGTAGCTAGCATATTTAGCAGAGGGTAGTTTTTTGTGTTTTGTGAGCAAAATATACAACAACAATTCAGTAAAAAAAATTGCACATGTACATATAAATTCAATGTTGTTTTATACAGTACAACTTACATTGTTCAGATGAGTTATTGGGTTCACTCTGAAAAATAGGGCCTGTCCCTGATGCTATCAAAGATCGTTTATAGTTTGTAAAAGGAGTTTTTCTTACAACCACGAGGGGGCACTATCTTACTATACAACCATAGCCTTTATGACAATAACTTAGATTTTTGTCAGCAACATCTTAATAAAACCAAGTACTCAGCGAATAACTAAACAAGACAAACAAACTACAGACTAGGAGTGATCAAAAAAGAATTTTAAGAAGTTAAAAGATGATGGAAAAGCCAGAATACCATTTTCAGTTAGGGCCTTGGTCCAAAATACTCCACAGCATCTTTTTTTTTTTTTTTTTTTTTTTTTTTTTTTTTACAGCTTAGAGACATTTAACACAGTAAAACAGCAGGCATGTAGTTCATTGTATGTTCTCTTTTCACTTCAGTGTGAAAAAGGTATACAGAACAATAAAACACATTCCCAGACTGGGATGTCACCTTTGACTTACATCATTAAAAAAAAAGTCTCCTATAATTTCCCATGCAACTGTACTGAGAAGGTTGACTATAATGTGCACCACACTAGGCTACTAATTTAAACATTAGTCATGTCAGAAAGCACATAATTGTAAGACAGAAAGAATAGCCGCCTTGGTGCTTTGCCCCTACATACAAGCTGTAGTCTATAGGCCCACTGTCATGACAGATGATAGGGTAGTGGTAAAGCCTAAAGATTTATTTTACATGTACTTTTCTCACACACTTACAGAAAATAGACTGGCTGAGCTCTGACACAGAATTTAATTTAGAGAGAACTTTTATGGTAGTAGGTACAGTATTAGACATAAAAACTTGAATCTTGTGACTTATCGTCCTGCAGAAATATTTAGGAAGAGTTTGGGAGTTACAATTATTATTTGGTTATACAAATGTCAGGTTGAACATTTTATTACTGTGGGAGCCAAAAAGTATTTTACTACTTTGACCACAAGTGTAAGACTCTTTGTCTCAATTGCATGGAGACAAAGCACTACAGCATTATATAATGCATTAAGAACATTCTGCACATTTTGGGCAATTCGTTGGCCAGTTTGCAGTGTTTATTTATTTTTTTATTTTTTAGATGTGCCATCTTGTTTTCAAAGGGGTTTGGTAAGTATTCTGAATACTGATGTACTGAGAATACGTGTTGATAATAACAAATATTATATGTAACCATATTCTTTTACAGATACTATTTCATTTGGTGGTATTCAGAATGAAATTATTTTCCAGAAAACACCACTCTTGTGGTGAGTGCATATATAATTCTACGTATTCCAATTAGAGATAGGAAATAAATAACAAATGGTGAAACATAAAGCTGTTTTTAATCCTATGCTGCGTTTTTACTCTAGGCCTTGAATACAATATTTTAAATGGACCAGAATATGTCACAAACCACATTTTCATGCAGGTATTCGGTATTCTGTAACTAAATACATTGTCAAAGTATTCTTCCCATTACTGCTGGTTTGCACATTACATGGTTTACAGTACTGTACATTTTCCAGACATACAAACCTCTTGAGTAATATTACATGAGACCTGCTACCAGACACTATGATTTTTGTGGTCTCCGCCCTCAAGGAGAATACCCTCTAGTCAGTATCGCTCAAGAGTTTCTGTCTAGGGTTAAATTTCTGCTAAAGGGTCCAAACCCTCTTCACTAAGTCAGACTAATAGAATAATCACACTTTATAGCGTACATAAATATTGTAGTTTAATAAAATTGTTGGCAGGATTTTGGCATTACAACATAATAGCTTTCAACACAATAGTTTATAAACAAATGCTAAAAGTCCAGAAATTAGATAAGTGTTGACACAAAAGGAAAATATTTAAGAAATGCAAAACAGACAAACAATTTCCTTATGTACACACTGTAAAATCTGAACTGCATACAAATAGCAACTATAGTTTAATGAGAAATATTTTAGTACATTTTGGCAAAGATATACAAACTTAAATCATATATCAAGAAAATAAACAAGAAAATAAAACAAAACCCCCCAACAGCTGACTCTTTGGTTTCTGAAACATATGGCTTATTTCTTGCGTTCTTCAATCTGCTCCACTTCACTTGACTCATCCACCACCTTCCCATTGATCATAGTTTGAGTGACGACTTTGACTATCTTCCGTGTTCGCACGTCTGGGTCTTCTGTAACAGTAAGAGACGCATGTTTTTTTTATTTTTCTATCAAACTGCTTTGTTTATAAAATTAGCTATAAAAATAAAGTGTATTTGGAACTGGTGAAAGTTGTTTGTGAGGGATTTGAACACAACAGTCAATAAAATAACTTACTTTTAGGAGGTGGAGGAGTTTCTTTGACTCTGCAAATAGGAAAAAATGTCAGATCTATATGATTTATGTATTTAATTTAGTACAAAGTAAACATGAATGAATTATATACATTAATAACAACAACATAATAACAAGTATTATAAGATTATCGGCCACACTATTAGTAGGTAACTTTGTGTTTTTCTTTGTGTTTTGTGTTTTTTTTTAATTCTATCTATTCATGGGGTTTATTCAGCTTCCTGTTATATGCAATATTTTGATGTCTTTTTCCATTCAAAAGACAGAATATTTTGTTTTAAACTGTTTAATCAGTTTGGTGATGGTCCTGGTCAATAATTTTTCTTCATTCTAAAACCAATGGATAGTGAATATACGAGTAAATGCACTTACATCTCCTCTCCTTCCAGAAGCCTCCTGTAGGTGGCAATCTCCATCTCCAGGTTCTGTTTGATGCGCAGCAGTTGTTCATAGTCGGTCTTGTTACGTTGCATATCCAGACGCAGCTGAGACAGTTCATCCTCCAGTTGTGTCAGTGTGGCCTGCAGTCTCTCCATCTCCATAGAGTACTTATGGCCCGTCTCGCCCAGGTTCCCCTCCAGAACATTCACCTGGCACAAACGTACACAGAAAAACACATATATTTCGTTTTTTGCTGGAAGGGGGGGGGGTTCTAAACATTTCTTCATTAGAGATACATGTAGGGGTTACCATAGTGACAAAAAGCACATTTTAGCAAAAACTGTCAAAAGAAGTTTTAAGCTCAAGAAAAAAATACAATGCATGTTGATGATATTAGCTGTAAAGTATCAATTATTTATGTACTACATCCAGACGCAAAGATGCAACATTTTGAGGATTTTTTTTGTTTTTAATCCCTATAATAACTCCTAATTTAAGCAACTGGCTCTACAGTATCATTATTATGAAACCAGATTTGTGGCTCTATGAATGGGTGTTGTAGGGTCCCTATTTGGTCAGAGGTACCACACAGTCCCCCCAGCTCATGTTCACACAGCGACAGTGACTGGAAGAAGAGCTCTTTGCAAAAGGGCGTTAAAAATCTTTCTTTTGGTACGTTATAAAATAAAATAACTGTCATTATTTTTTACCCTCTAATCATTTCCCCATCACATAGCCTCAATATGTAATAACCTGAAATTGCCTATTTCTACTGAACAAAAGGTAAGACGTAGCTGTTAACTTTAAAACTACTGCTTCATTACATCACAAGGTGGAACAGAGCATTTTGAGCTTTGGAGATGTTTGGGACATGAATGAAACAAAGCACAACTCCAGGTATGTTTCTGAGGAGGTAACAACATGGCTTTAAGCTCACATGAGTCAATTTTGCTTAATATAGGACCTTTAAATGATGTGGTAACTTGTTGAAAGAAAACATATGTGAAGAGGGCAACAAGGCTGAAACGAAATCTAAAAACTGACCTGAGTAAGCGGTTATGTATTTTATTTTCCTAGTGATTCATGGCTGCATCTGTAGCTAAAACAAAACTGTGGTGCTCCTTTTTAATATGTGTATAATACTGTTCCAACTCTATTTAATAATGTACCTTATTTCCTGCCAGTATAAACAGTAGACTACAGCCCACTTAACTATTGAGATCTCTGTCAACACTATCAGGTAGCCTCTAGTGTTTTACCTGTCAGTCTGTGCAAACAAACTATATTTGTCCCACACAATTAATCAATTGCATTATTATTTGAACCCACAGAAAGACATATGTGAATCATGTTTCACTTCACAAGGCAAGTTTGATTGATTATACAGTCACAGAAATAAATAGCATATTATCTGTTGACAAGAACAGCCAGCTGCTACCTTTCGTTCAACCAATATTGTCTGTGCGGGAAATGTCCTGAGATGGTTAGACACACACTGCCATTTTAAGAAAAAATCCAACATAAATTTAACTTCCTACAACTGAGCTTAATAGCTATATGTATGTTTTTTTTTATCCTTAAAGGTAATATTGTATGCTAAATTTGCTCTTGTGAGCTTTTAGCCTTATTAGCATGTTATTACCTTATCAAAAACATAGCTGGAGTTGTATTTTTTTTCATTCACACATGTTTGAGAAATCCTTTATTTTTAGTCTATCTAGATCTCCAAAGCTCAAGCTTCCACCTTGTGATGTTATCTACTTTTAAATTTCACCTTCAGTTCAGTAGAAATTGGCAATTTTATGTGTGTGATGAGGAAACACCATTATAACATCAGAAAACAGTGTAATATGGGTTCTTTAATATTTATGTGCATAGTTTTTTACCCTTAAAGATAGCAACTGTTGTTATGCAGTACACCTTTAATTACCTGTTTGCGCAGACTGTCCAGCTCCACCTCCAGAGCCTGTAGGAAGCGCCTCCTCTCGCTCAGCTCAGTTTGGGCACAGCGCAGGGCCTCATTGCTCTCCTTCACCTCAGACTGAACTGCCTCCAACTACCAAATAGCAAAGCATTGGCATATTTATCTGAACACCAGGACTGGGTTGGTGGTATCTTTGGTGTATTTTAATTGTTGTTCCTGATGCAGTTGTATCAGTAACCTGCATTGTTAACCTGCTGTCACTTTGCAGCATCTTAGGGATTACAGATAAAATTATAAAATTATGTCTATATTTGTTGTGCAAAGACCCAGTTAAAAATGAATTAATTAGGTATGAATAAATTGACCTTCAGTACAGTTTTCTAGACAGGACAATAGTACCAATGGCATATGCAATAGGGCCTTAACAGTCATGAGGTACCCACCAGAATGTGTGTGTAACGTAAATTCAAATTATGTCCTAAACAGTCTTACTATAAGAGTCTTACTATAAGAAATAAGTATTACTTAAATTGGTTTAAAGTACATATATATATATTTTAAGATATTGTAAATGTTTAATATGCTAAATATATCCAGGTGACTGTCTACAAAGTGTACAAGTCTTTTGTGTATCTAACCTTCTTGAGATACCAGGCCTCAGCTTCTTCCTTGTTCTTGCGAGCGATGCCCTCGTATTGGACCCTGAGTTCAGCCAAGATGCCACCCAGATCTGGACCCGCGGCTGCATCCACCTCCACATTCACCTGCTCATTCGCCAGGCGTAGCTTCAAAGAACTCATCTCCTATAAACAACAATGTTTATACAACAAAATTATTGAAAAGTGTGTGTGTGTGTGTGTGTGTATATATGTGTGTGTGTATATATATATATATATATATATATATATATATATATATATATATCACACACACACACACACACACATTTTTTTCATTTATTTATGATCAGTAATGTTTATTTATTAACTTTTATTACTTTATATATGATATAATATGTTGCTTATGTTTTCTTGAGTGAGCTTTGCTTTGAGTTGCCAGATATTATGTCTAAAACCAACTTATTTATATATTTATGTTGAATGTTTATTTATCATTTTCTAACTCTCTTAGAAATCTTTTTATATTTAACATTTGATAGGGGTTTTAATCATAGTTTCTCCACATAAAACATTTCATAAAAGATTCTGTTACATATAAATCCTGAAGCCATCTCTTTTTTTCTCTTATGACCTAGATATAGTCTTTGATAATGACTGTACCAGCTGTACCATTCTAACTGTATGCCTCCTCGTGCCAGCCTACATCCTGGACACCACGCCTGTCTGACTAAACATACTCACTGCTCTTGGCTCAAATATAACCACATTCTGTGTTATCTTAATATCTTAAAGCTCCATGATGACAAAAGACAAGGTGTGTCCATCTAATGCATGTGATCGTGTTACGGACACTTTACACCCCTGAACTTTCTCCTTGAGCTATATAAACTTTGTCAGAAATGTTAAATGTGCACTGTAGAACTTTTTTGCTTGAGGTTGCACAACCAACTTGTTTCTATGGATATGTCATTGCTCTGCCTGGAATATTCCACAGTATGACATTAAACAGCTCTGCTTTTCATTTATTCAATTACAGGTGCTTTTATAGCTATAGCAGGTATTCTGACTGTGAGCAGAGTTGCCCCTACAAAGATCTGATCTGTAACTTGGACTGGCTTTGTCTTCATGAAGATAGAAACAGCTTAATACTATACTGTGAAACATTCCAGACAAAGCAATAATACCTGCATGGAGAAAAGCATTTAATGGACCCTCTACCAGAAAAGTTACTCAGTGCACCTAAAAAAGTGTTTATCAGCAAAAACACACACAGACACACAAAACAAAACAAAGTGCCATTTTAAAGTTTATGAGAACCTTGAAATTAAAATCTAAATCTATTTTACTGCAATCAGAATGTTCATTTTTGGTCAATTACACTCTTGCCTCTGCTGAACAAGGCTGGTATGTGAACCTACAAATCAGCCCATTTGCATTTACATTCAAAAGACATGATCACATTCACGTTTTTGTGTCTCTTTTTCTCACCTCATCATGGTTCTTCTTGAGAAAGTAGAGCTCCTCCTTCAGGCTGTCCAGGTCTCCACGCAGTGTTGCAATAATCTGGTCGTGGTCAGATTTGGCCCTTCTCAGAGCCTGACAGTCCCTCTCCACGGACTGACACAAAGTGGCCTCAGCCTCCCACCTGCACAAAGAAACGATGGAGAATTACACAAACCCAAGTGCTGAGTTTAATGTTCTATACATCACAACATGCCATAGAAAATAAGTTAACATGCAGATTTGTTGACTGGTGGCTATATCACATGTAAATGTTGCTTTTTCATAATAAAAATGTATATGTAATAAATGCAGATTTTCCCCCCTTGCACCCCATATGTGAGTGAATCTGCAACAACCAATACAACAATACCTCATTTGCAAAATAATGCTAGTTGTAAATATTTCTAAATAAGTGTTACATTATATTATTTTTAAACCCTAAACCAGTGTTCCTTGTAGATTTCTACTGAGATTACAGTAGAACAGACAATCCAAGGTTGTATTTAATATACATTTATGCAGCACAATGAAACTTACTTTCTCATTTGCCTGGTACAGATTCTTTTTATGAAGTTTTTGGTTACACTTTAGTCACTCCTACAATAACTACACTATTTATAGCCTTAAGCATAATAGCATAACGATAGAGGTATAGTTTATTAAAATTGATTCAGGTAATTTAGTAGCTACTTAACTAAAGGTTAGGAATTAGGGTTAGGGGACTAATTAAGTCTAAAGTATTATCCAAATTGTCCACTGCAGCATATTTTTAATAACAGTCTGTAGAATGAAATATTAAAAATGAAGGGGGGAGCATAGTGTATTAATGGGAACTGAATGAGAGTTTTGGAAGGACTTTCTGCCTGTATGTTGTGTGATAGACCTGCAATTATTTGTTAATGTCGTAAATCTCTGACAGAAGATACGCATCCCCCACATCCTACTTACCAACGACATACCAGCAACACAGTGTGAAAATCGACCTTCTCTACCACCTCTTTCAGTCCCTCAGTGTGCCTGACCTTCTCATCGATCACATCCTCTACATTATAGACCACTTGTTCTTCTGTCCACTGTGGGAACGTTTCTCTTATTTCACAGGTTGACAGAAAACGCATTTATTCATGTTGGTTTTCAGTCTGGCACTGCGTTGTAAATACTCACAGTCATGTAAAGAAATAGAGGCTCTTTGTGACACTCACTTGACCCTGAAATCGTCTGCAGCCAGTTTGGCGTTATCAATCTCCAACATGATCCGAGCGTTCTCCAGGGTCTTCTTTCTCACCTGGGGGACAGATGTACAGTGTTCTAAAGGTGCACTGTGTAACTTTTCTAATTTGGGGGCTGGCACTTACTTGTCTTCATGGAGATATTATTGATTTGCCTAGAATATTCCACACTATGGCCTTAAACTTATTTATCTTGCATTTATTCAACAAAAGGTGTTTTTTGTTGCCTTGACAAATATCTAGTTGTGAGCGGCTTGCCTCTCCACAGATTAGACAAATCTGGCCTGATGATGTCAACTGTATGCCTCCATGGAGATGAGTTAAGTGCCATATTGTGAGTTGCTCTAGATAAAGAAATCCCCAACTCCCCATGGAGACCAGCAGGTTAGAGGTACATAGTGGACCTTTAAGTCCTGTGTATTGCAGCAGTGCATACCCTTCCATTCCAACAAAGGGACACAAATAAAATAACCTTGAAGATTTGACTTGACAGAAACTGTAATGAAACACATTGTCTAGAGTTTTATATCTACTAATATTTCTACAACTGAAAGAAATGACCTTTTGAATCATTCAATTTAAGTCTATATTTTCATGTTGTTTTAACTGACCTCCTGTCCAATGGCATGAGCCTGGGCCATCATCCCCTCTATGTCGTGCCCCTTTGGTGATCTCTCCATCATCAGCTGCTTGATCTTCACCTCAAGCTCAGCATTGGACCGCTCCAGCGAGCGCACTTTGTCCAGGTAGTTGGCCAGTCGGTCATTGAGGCCCTGCATGGTCTCTTTTTCACTGGCACCTACACCCAGTCCATTGAAAGAGTTTAGCATGTTGAGCCCATTGCCCATGGAGACAGAGCGGGACAGAGTGCTGACAGTAGAGAGGGAGGACATGGGCTTAGAGCGGAGGCTGCGGCCGCTGTCCCGCACAGACATGCTGGAGAAGGACTGGGGACGCACAGTGTGACTGCGCACAGACAGTGTGGAGGCCATGGTGTCCTCTGCTGAGAAAAAATTCAATATATGTATTACAAGATAAAAGAACCATTATTTGTCCCACAATGGGGAAATTCCAATTTTTCAGCACAAAGTTAAAGGAGGACAATAGAAATGTGCAGTCAGAAATCAAAATAAATAATTAATTGGATTAGATTTAAATCTAACCAATCTAAACTGAAACTGAATAGAGTTAATATAAACAGTATGGCTCCCAAACCGCTCAGTACACAAACCTTAACAGGGTTATAAGAGGCACATCAAAACTGCAAAAACCCATCTGCAACTCACTACCCACAGAAATTAAGGTGATATCTGTTTTAATTCACCTTTTAAATTAAATCATGGCCAAATTGTAACCATGTGTACATAGCATGTGTGCTTGAATGAGCGTTCAAATGTTTAAATATATTGTGTATGTACCTTTAACAATCTAAGCGGGGACAGGGGCTACAGATTAGATACTTCTTTTTATTGCAGTCATCACCTATATGATTGCAATGTTTCATTTCACTGTCCTTATCAAATAAATAATGAAATGAAATATTTCAAAAGGAGACATTTTAGACAAGACAATAAGACAACCATTATTTGTCCCACAATGGAAAAACTGCAGTGTTGGGATAGTAAAGTACAAATGTCACCGAACAATTACAACAAGTGGCTAAATGACAGGTAAAAAAAATTAATAATAATAATAAAATAAATAATAATAAGTAAGCCTAGTTTTAAGATATAAAATGCTGATACTTACATGGATGTTGACTGTGCTGGTTGCGGACAGGTGCTCGTCACTCAGGTCTCTACCCTGCTGTCTCTCAGGTGCCTTTGGCTGCATAGGCTCCTCTCTGAAGGGGCGGGGCTCTGGTACTGTTTTTCAATCGCATTGCAACATGAAACCATAGGGGCAACAGGGGAGAGAAATACCAAGGAGTCATACAATGTCATCTCATCAGTGAAGATTAGAAATTTAAAGAGCTTAAATGTTGTATTGTCCAGAAAAAAAGATAAATATTAGATTAAATGTTATAGGATTGTTTTTATTAGTTTATTAAGAGTTTTCCCAAATTTTGATCAGGTGCATGGGAAAAAGCAAATGCGAAAAAGTGATAAGTCTATATTAGAAAAATATGGTTGACTTTGTAGATGTATGTACAAGCTTAACCTAACACAATTACATGTATTCACAGGTGCTAAGAGTCTATATGTGACATCAGCCTCCTAAGATATTCTTTTAAACTGGTGCGGCAAGCGTCAGACAGGGCTCCACTGTCTCCACACTGACCCCATTGAGCCTGGAACACAAAGCACAGCAATGTGAACACCTGAGGACGGCCCAGTGGGAGCAGGGCAGGTAGGAGGAAGCACGAACAATTGGTGGACAGAATGAATAGAAAGTAAAGACCCCTGAGAAATGCTATGAGAAATGCTGGGCGTTGGTTGGGATGCAGTGGAACAGTAAACCTGGTTTATTTTACATGCACACACGTACACACACGCACACACACACACACACGCACACACACACACACACACGCGCGCGCACACGTACGCACACAGACACACACACACACACGTACGGAAGCACGCAAACACACAAATTTTATCTGCCCCGCAGGCTTCAAAAACCTGTTGTTGCATTGAAAATGATTCTTGATTCCTCAGAGTGGTATTCCCAGAGGAATATCAGATCACCAGATCCCTGACCTGGTTTAGTGTCTAACAACAGAGCCACTCCTGCACGTCGCTGCATACTCATACACAGTCATGTACAACACAACACCACAGATTTAAGAAAAGTAGTGACACATGAAAAGTAAATATGCACTGTGATATGTGTCTTTTACAGTTCGCATGTGTGATTGAAATGATAAGCTCCTGAGACATTTAACAGAAAAGGGGCATTGGCATTACAAATCATAAGCCTATTAAAGGCCATGCTGTCATGATGGGCCTATACTTACCAAAGTGACTGGCTCTAATAAAACCTTTACAAAATGTTGAATCATTCTTTTGGACATTTCTTCGTCTTCTCTCTTCAGTGGGTGCATGTTTTGCCCGTGGAGTAGACAGACAACAAGTGTCAAGATTTTATTGCAAGCATTGCAATGAACGTGTCTCCACCTTGTGGCCTAAAAATATATGACACTTTGGTGGTGACGGTGTTTTTTTTTTACACGCAATTTGAAGTGTCATTATAGGTTAATTTAATTAACTCATTTGGAACACAAACAAACATTTAAATAGCTTAGACTATAAAGGCTCAATATGTTCTTACTGCACCACTGGTACATTGGCCTTCATCTACAAACGAAACAAAACCATTGGTGGTTTAATCTCTGCTCCAATCAGTGCTTGCTGTTGTGCCCTTGAACAAAACATTTCATTCAGAGAGTGTGTTATTTGTGGTGATAAGAGTTTGTTTTGTTTTGTACTGGTGTCGTATCTGTTTTTTCACTTGAAGAACATACAAATCCTGTAACTATTTCCCAATCTGTGTAGTTCTTAAAATCTGTCTATTAGAAGATAAAAAAATTTGGCATGTTGTTTTTTCTGAAAAAACAAACAAACAAACAAAAAAACAAACAAACAAAAAATAAAAAACTATGACAATTATGTATATTGAATCTTATATTATCGACTTGAACATGAACAGATGTAGACTGTCGGAGCAGCTTGAAACAGCTGTGACTCTAAAATGCCTTCAGACATCCAAGTTTGTTTCTGATCACAGTACTGTTTTGCGTAAACCATTTACAATATCATTCATTTTTTTATTCAGACTGTTGGCTTAAAATTTCCACTCTGAATTTGTGTGTTTTTAGTGTTTGGCTGTGGGCCTGGACTGAATGAATCATGTTTCAGTTATGTCCTTGCTGTCATCAGCTCCGCTGATGTGGTTCTGTGCTACTGTAACAGTCATAGTTTACATTTAAAACTTTTGCAGTTTTCTTCACAGGCTAGCACACAATGTACTGGTCAGCAAAGTCAATTTTGTGTGCTTTCCTTTGTTTGACTTTTGTTTAGAAATGTGATACTTTGCTCATTTTTTCTGGCTCACAGCCAGTCGTCCTGTGCGAGATCCACATTAAGACCCAACACTGGCTAGTGAAAATTTACTGCCCCCAAAAGTGATTTGTGAACATAATTGTTGGCAACTGATTTTTCAGAAAACTGTGCTTCAAATTTATTGATATATCAGTATTATTAGATAGATATTATCTGTATGCCTGCTTAAATCTACATGGATACAAAATTTGAGTACTTGCCATGATTTAACATGACATAATAAACTGATATATGTGTCTAATTTTAGTACAACTCTTATTAGGCCGACAGTATCTACTTTTGAAATTCCCACATAGAGATCTGTGTGTAAAACAAAAGGGACATTGTACTGCTCATCTGTTATTCTAATGCCATGAATAATATCATCAACTCAATGAAACAATCTCCTGAAGGAACGCAGAATTAAAATGAGAAAAGTGAGCGATGGCACCATTTGAAATAAGCCTGAGGAGGAGGAGGGTGAGCTCTGGTGATGAAGATATCTTGTACAGGGGTTTTGTTGACTGTTGTGCAGGGGGAGAGCTCATCAGCGAGAAGGGGAACAATTTGAATAGGCACGAGACGAGGGCACTGCATGTATCTGCTCATTAGGCGGCCCGCGCTGTAATTCTCCGTGTGCGCAGCTCTGCAATCAGGGGCCTATTCATTAACATGGGGGGCCCGCTTTCATCTGCAACCACTTGAGCCTGCCAATCACAGAGGCGTACGCATGGCATGATGAGAAAACGGGCAGCTTAAATACTCAGGGATGCTCGTGCACGAAGGGAGTCACGTTTAAATGCTGCCTTAAGCATTTGTATCAGAGAAGGGGGAAGGAGAAATGCTCTTTTTTACAGTGTAGTGCTGGCAGGTGGCCCAAATTGTGTCAGACTGATAATCATCTTTCTAGCTCCACATGAGGACGTCTTTTGTTCTTAGATTTTATGAGGAGGAGCATCGCTTTGCAGATCAGGTTTTCTGAAATACAGTGATTGGATGTGATTGGACAAAAGTTAGAGCAGATATTTTTATGGTTAAATCTGCGAGCGATGCATTCAAAAGACAACAATCAAAAATGATTACAATGACTGTAATACACACCTGGATATTCATGGGTTTCAGCTTCTGGATATATAAAATATTTTCAGGACTTTTTCCCATTCAAAACATATAATATTTTGTCTTAAATTGTTAATTGCTAGGACAGCAGTTGTAATTTTTCATCATTTGAAATCCATGGATAGAAACCAAGATGGGTCATGGACATGTACTGAAAATATATATTCAGAATACAAATTTTGAGTAACTGTATGGCAAAACAGTTAGTCTTTCATTTGGTGGTATTCAGAATATTGTTACTTTACTAAAATCGATGGAATACATTGTGGTACCTGATCGTGCAATTTTGGTTTTGAATTGTACTGTTTTAGTACAGAAACTAGGCAACACAGCTGTTGAGGTGTATGCATGTGTAATAAACTGTGCAACAAACATAAAGCTGTTTTAATCCTATGCCACTACACTATGTAACTCAATGTGAAAGTATTCTAAATATTCAGAATGCAGAACTCTGATTGGTCCATGTAAAGGAATAGACTACCAAATACATTTTAATGCAGGTATTTAGTATTCTGTAACTAAATACATTTTCAAAGTAATCAGTCATCTTAAATAAAGTTTTGAGGTAAAAGACCTATAATTGTGTATTTTATTTAAGATTATGATAAATCTTAAGAATTATTTCCTTTCGCAATTGACTCATGGGTAAAAAAACTCTTAACCCCCTGACTTTAAATAGTATTACATTAAGTCTACATCGATGAACTATAAGCCTATGGAAAACCAAATTATATAGCCTATTCACATGATTTTGTGCAACAGGATTTAAACTGGTAATGGAAAAACAACTCTTTCTCTCAGATTTCAGTGCATTCATTTGGTTGTGGTCACTTCCCTCATCACTTTGTCCAGAGTCTCTCCAAAACAAAGCAGGATAAGTGATGACGATGCACTGTAGTTTTGTTCTGAAATGATATTGATTCAGAGTAAACAGTCAGACATAACCAAATTGCTTAGGTCAAAGTATGTCATTTAATTTTCACATTGCTGCATCTTAAGTGCTGTCAATCAATGTAACAACTTAAGGTCATTTGTATAAAGAGGCCAACAAACTGCTTAATCAATGAATACACCCCATGAGGCATTGATCAGATTTTGTGACTAAAAGAAAATTAAGCATGGTGTGTGTTAATGTGTACTGTGGTATAGATGAGAGGGCACGGTGTATAGAGCTGACCTTTGTAGCCACGATCTATGAGTTTGTGAGTAAACAGTGTCCTTTTACTGCACATAGGAGAGTTATTATTATCTCTAATGTTGCTTTGGTTTGTTGTTGTAATGTTGTGGTTTCAGGACTGTTTAAAAAAGTACAATGGTTAACACAGCCCTCTGCAAACCTGGTAGCATTTAAGAACATTTTATTACCTTCAGACATAAGTATAAGGTACAATCACATATTGTCACATTTAAAAGTGCTTTCGTGAGTTTGATAATAAATTAGCATTTTCATTTGACAACAACATAACAACAAATAGCAATGCTAAAAGTGTACTCACCAATACAAAAAATGCTGAGGTCTAAATACTGCTGTGGCATTCCTCTTACTCTTTTCAAAGCTCACATTTCAGTGATTTACACTGTGCATGAAATAAATGAATAGTTCTTTACCGAATGAAATGCCCCATCACCAAAGGAAGTAAACTCATGTGGTCCCGTTGGTTGTTTTTGCCGACTTCTGGTCTCTGCAGTCTATATGCTCAAAGTTCAACCAATTGTGGCCCATGGTTCAGAATTCCAGTCAGCTTATAAACAGGTAGGTCCAAAATGTAGTGGTAAAGTAGAAAACATGAAGGTTGTCAGCGGCTGATGGGGAGCTGTGGTAGGGAGATGGGAGGATGGGTTAAGTGTCCCGGGGCGGCGAGGACAGAGAAAGAGTGACCTGAATGCACAAACATTTAAAGAGGTTACATTATTGGTGAAATAGTTACCTCACTTTATGTATAGTATAATATTTCTCAACTATTTATTTATAATTGCTGAAGAGAAATTGAGTTGTGCTTACTGTCTAAGTATCCATGCAGGGCCAGGAGGTGCGGTCGGTCGGGGCTGCTAAAGGGAGAGTAGTGCACGTCGTCGGGCAGAGATGGAGGCAAGCGCGTCAGAGGAGCGCCTTGAGGGAAGCTGCTCTGCGGAGGCTGCTTTTTGTGCCGGGCACGACAGTTCTGGAACCAGACCTGGGGAGGTGGTGTACCACGTCAGTATACAGCTAAAAACAATATTGAAAGAGATTAAAAACTGTTGTTTTTAATTGTGTATTATTATTATTATTTTTAATCTGAGCTCAAATCTAGAGTTTCTCCAGACTATAAATTGCTTACATTTTGGGAGACATTTCTATGTACACATTTCAAATATTTAATTATAGCTGAAAACAGAGATGACAAACTAGCAAAGACTTTATTGGAAACTCACCTGTATAACTCTCCTGCTGAGCCCTGTCAGCTCTGCCAGCTTCTGCAACGTCTGAGCATCAGGGTTATTGTCTTGGGCAAACTGCGTTTGCATGACCTATAAAAACACACACACACAGTCTCACAGAGTCCACATCACGCCTCACAGCAGAATCCTATATGATATAAAGGAAGAACTTGGTACCTGCAGCTGCTCTGCGGTGAAGGAGGTGCGAGCCCTCTTGGCTGGTTTAGGTTGACAGTCCTGATCTGAGGGCAGGGCTCCCTCCAGTGTTAGACCTGTGCCTGTGAATCAGCAAAAATACCTGCTCAGTTTGATAAATAAATAATTTAAACAATTAAAATCTTTGTGTATGAGAATACACAGCAGGACTGTACCATTTTCAGCAGCCCGTCGCAAGTTGTCCAGCATGGTGTCATAGTGGTTTCGGCAGAGCACCCTGCCCTCCACCAGCCCAAACTCCTCTCCAGTGGACAGCTGCCTTTTACAGGAGAAACAGGCAAAGCAAGCCAGGTGGTACACACTGCCCCGAGCCCGCCGCACCCAGTCACTGGCAAACACCTGACGACCGCACTGCGCACACTTTGTCCCAAACCTACTGTAGAAATATCACACAGTACAGCTGAGTTAAACGATTCATTTTGTCTTAGGGCAATTAAAATATATAGCTAGAACCTGGAATTTTATCAACATTGAAAAAGTAAAGATTAAATAAATAAATAAATGATAATAGCTTAAAAAGAGAAAAAGTGTACACCAAAATAGAGCATTTTCAATTTCAAGGAATTAATTGAGTATAGTTATAAAAATGGAATGGGTCCTATTTTTGTTCATTTTTACTATTAATGGATTTTTTTAAGGCAATGAAACACTCTCACTCTTGTTTTTTCATCAAAATGAGAAAGCCTAGGGACATTTTGATCAATACGTAAATTGGGCTTGTTCTTTATTCACTTTTTGTGCAAGGTTGACCCGCATAGGGCCTGCGCATCTGGATTCCACTTTAAGTGAAGCCTCCCAATTTAAACTCTGGTCACAACCCGAAAATCAGTGGTAAAAAAGTCTAAAACAGCTTAGCCTTGTTTAAAAATAGACTGTATTGTAATCTACGACATATTAGCTTGTGCCTCAAGTCTCGTTCACTCACACGTTTTGAGTAAAAAGGAAAATGACAAGATGCGGCCTGTAGCGCGCAACCGTTTCATTTATTTTTCAACAACCAATTTCGCCTAACAAAAAATACAGGCCTGCTTTGCACAGAAAAATGTGCGTGTCAGCCAAAACAGCCATGCCCATTTCTCTACATAAATATGTTGCGAGGGAAGACCAGATTCGTTTTGACTATGAGGCCTGTTTTTTCCTCCTATACGCCATGTCCGCACAATCTCACGGCTACCATTAAACATAAAATATTGGGCCTTATCGCAAGGCTAAATAAAACAAGATAATATAACTGTAATAATTGTGAATTGTGAAAAATATAGTCATATTTAATGCTAATTTATTGTAGACTGACTTAGTTAATGTCGTGCATAAAAATAGCTTTTTTGTACCGACGTTATGTCAATTTAAATGCATTTAGTAAAATGTACAAAACAAAGAAAAAAGATAACTAAAATAGAATAAGAATTTGTTTTTGATTAATCACCCATACCTGAAGTAATCCAGTTTGCAGTAGATTTCTTTGTTTTTGACATAGCAGCTGCTGTGTTGACGCAGAGACGCTCTGCACACGGAGCACTCCAAGCAGCCCAAGTGCCAGTTCAGGTTGTTCACCTGCCAGAATTAGAGCCGTGTCAGCGCAACTTCGGATACACTTCCGAAACATGCGGAGAAAATTATGTTCTTATAATTGGGCCAGCTCCTGGTGCCTACCTTGAGCAAGTACCGGTCGTGGATGTCCATTCCGCAACTCGCGCACTGGTTCTTGTTGGTAGAAGGGGAGCAGAGACATGCGGCCTCAGACGGACTGGACTCAGACTCCTTCTTCACCTCCGTCTTTGACTAAAAACACACGCACAGGAATCGGGAAGCTCGAATCAGATATTGAAGAACAACCACGTGAATTTTGAGCCACAGTTTAAAATCCTTTGGCAAATCTAATTTTGTCATGTAGCTTATTTTAAGTCTGAAATTCACAGCACCCTCTTCAGCAGTTTGGGTCCTGTCAGAATCAGAAGTGACCCAGTAAGGGAGTAAGAAGGTTTCAGACAGCACACCTAGATTTTTAAAGAAACGTATTGAAAAGGTCTTCATCCAGATGTTTATGACTCACCATTTTCAGGTCCCGAACGCAGCCTATTTGGAGAGAAGATGGAGCTTGCTCTGCACATTACGCATCTCTGCCCCAACCCACACTACATCCGGTCCAAAACAACGACTAGCCTAAGTGTTTCGGCTGCATTTAAAGACTGGCAACAAAAGACATTTTGATGCAATTACAGCAAAAAAAAAAAAAAAAAAACCCGAGCCTATAAATGATCGATGGTTGCTCTTGTGCGCAATAGGTGGTTATATTCCCATGCAATCAAATGCCACGAAAAGAAAGGATGGCACTATATCTGCAATTAGCGCTGGATTGAAATGCTTCGCTTGATAAGAGGCTACCCGAGTGTCAATTTCACGTGTCAATCAAAACAGCCAAGCCAGCCACCAAGCTAAGAGAAAAAAAACAGCGCATCCTAATTTCAATAGGTGTATAATCGAAAATCGACAAATCTCCAAAGTGAAGAGGCTCAATTGGAGATCGCTCTATTCATAACAGACAATGCGCAGAAACTGCAGCTGATCTTGAGACATAAAGAAGCTTGATTGTCTCTTTCTCATGATGGACCATTTAAGCACTTGAGGCTCCCCTGGTGATTACAGCTGCATTCACAAAGTGCCAAAATGTGGTACGGTGCCAATACCGACTTTGTGTTGTTCTTCATTTACACGAAATCAACGTAAATGTAGCATTAGGGTATGCTAATTAACAACTACCCTATAAACATTGGAAGCGCAGAAACATGAAGAGCTGGTCTGCGATGGAAGTGAGCTATAGCGCACTTAAGAAAATATCCAAAAGCGCACAAAACACAGTCCAAGTTTTCCCAGCGTTCTTAAAAATACGAAACTGAAGAAAAAGTTTAGACAAAAGTAACGTTTGTATGTCCCTCTTTGCTTGTATGAAATAGTCCAACTTCTGTGTGGATTTCTTCTCACTCTGAGAATCACAACATAACGCACAGAGACCCTCCCACGTAGACTCCCCTTTTCTCCACTCAAAACTACAGAAAGCTCGGGCTACTGTGAGTGGCAACGTGACATGATTAAAGCAACATTAAACATTTATTCAACTTCCCATAAACAATAAAGACCCATGACAACCAGCCCGTGCCATAGGCTATATGACATTTTATTTTTTCAGGCAACACTGTTAAAAGCTCCAGTCTGTCAGGATATTTTTTCTATAATGCATAAAATACATTCTATGAAAAGTGAGTTTGAAGATATCCTATTTTAACCTATAAAACCTACACTTAAAAACAACTGCACTGTTCTTCTAGAAGCATGCCACTTTAAAGAAAATGTTTCCATGTGATCAATAGGCACTGACCACTTTAAAAGGCTCTGGGCTCATACCTGCACATTGTTCACAATGTCCTTCTGTGCATTAGCTGTAATCACTGGATGGGACTGGGTCATCCCAAAGTGGCTGAGCACCAGACAAACCACTTAAAGAGTGTTATTTGGCCTCTATTAGGCTCTAATGTCCCACAATGATTTTTTTAAAATTTATGGACACTTTGGGCCATTTAATCTGGAAGTCTTTTGAAGCAGATTTGAAGGAACATTTGTAGTGCTGGTTGCTGTGAGAGAGTTATTCAAGTTGACTGAGTTGTTTCAGTTAAAACAGAATATAATATACCTAATATTAAATTGGGTTCAAGACATGCCTAACTCTATCAGTTTCAGTATTAAAACATTTGCATAATAATGTTGGCAAACATAACATGGACTAACTTATTTGTGTTTTAACATCACAAATGTTCCTGTCTTGATTGTGATTTTTATGTATTGTCCTTAATCTGTATACTGAGTGTGCTGTTAGCATGTTCTAATTTTACTATACTTGTTACGTGTATGGACTGAATGTTTTCTGCTTATGTCTTCTTATCAACCAACAAATGAGACTGTGGATGAAAACGAGGCAGCATGGCTCTGGCACATTTACATGGTGTACTAAAACATGCTGATTAATATGCATTGTCCCATATTTAACAAATAAACATAAACATATTTGCAACAAAATAATGCTATTACACAAACACATTTTTGAAACACGGTCTTCAAAAAAACATAATGCCACAGTGTTTAAAACTAACACTCAAATTTAAAATTAAAGAAAACTAAAACAAAAATGTATTGCTTTATGTTTTAACTCAGACATATCAAATTTAGAGCAATAGACATTCCCAAATAACCATGAGTTTTAAAGATTGGATTTAATTATTTGGTAATTGGATGGATGACGAGAGTTATGACAGAGGAAGGGTCACCTGTTGCTTCCTGTCCCATTTGTGAATATGTCAGATATTGGCTCAGAGCTGAAGAGCTGGACCACGGCCCTTCCTTTACACATCTGTCACAAACAATGAGGAACCAGAACAGTGCCACAATAAACACAAACCAACACATGCAGAAGCTATTACAGTCTTCAATGGGCCCCAGTGGACATTTCTGCGAGTGGTATGTGGACAATGTATGACGTCGGGCATCCTGCTCCGTGGATGTGAGAGATACAGCCAGGTTCAAATGAGGGCAAAACTACGCACAAATACGATAACGCTTTTGAAGGTGTGGACCTTGTGGAACAAATACACAACAATAGCTTATGCAACGTTGTTTACTATGAGACTATTTGTTTCATAATAATAACTGTCTATAGCCACAAACATGTTTTAAATGAGAGAAATGTGAAATAATAATCAAAAAAAACATCAGAGTAATGAATTTATTAAATAAGAGTGTTTTTTTTTTTTTTTTTTGTGCGTGTGTGATTTTTAGATTCATGACTGTGATAATTTTATATTTCCAAAGGTTCTTATTGATTCCATTGTATTTTTGTAAGACATACCCAAAAAGTAAATTCACAAATGTTGCACCTGATTTCTACTTGTGACTTAAGCCTATAACTCACTCATTTTAATAATATTCATTTTAGCTGTCTGTTATAAAATAGTATTGACCTATAGAAAATTGTCATGTGATCTAAAATTTGGCAGTATGCTACTCAATATTGGCAAATGATATCACATCTAAAGAACATGATTGGTATTCATGTGATAATTGTTTAGTTTGCTGTTAGAGCATAGACTGCATAATGTGAAGGAGTGTAGGGAGTGTGACTTCACCCAGTGTTCAGCTCCAGTCAAATGAAGCTCACGAGGAAAGAAGTTATAGGAGCGAATTTGGAGCCAGGTCAATACTAGGAATAGGAATTTATTAACATATAAGATAGTGAAATAAAAATACCAGGATTATGTAGAGCGGGTTGATACAAACATTTTAAGAAGACCAAAATGAGGCTCACTGCAGCAGTTAGAGAGAGAGAGGGGGGTAACAATTTTCCAATATAAAATCAACTAGAAACAGGGTCGAACGAACTGAAAGCGCTCTCGTGAACACTTATTATTTAGACAATCTATATGTTAGAGCCATTGATAGATTTCTATTGCTATTTCATTTAGTCTCAGGGAGCAGTCACAATGGGCTTGACTTATTCAGTACCTTACCATTGCAACACAAAGGCATGTCTTGCGATGACTGATACTCCGTTTGGCTTGTACCTAAGAAAATGTTTGGAGAAAGGTGGAGCAAGGCCTAAATGCAACACAGCCTCCTTATCTTGTTCCTGTGGTGGTCTGTGAGAGTGCTGCTGAAGAGGTTTGTGATATCGACTACATCGAAAACTGTGTGTCTGAGGAAAGAGCATTTTTTTAACTAACCTATTTTTATAAGTAGTTAGTCTAAGCTATTTCACATTTTATTCTCTACAAGTGTAAATGACTGACGTATACTTAAGCAGTGTGGATGGAAATTTGCTTCGTGTTTGACTGAAAGTTACTTAAAGGTGGGCAATGTAACTTTCAGGTGGAGGGTCTGCTTCCTGCTGTGCCTTGAATGTTCCACAGTATATTAAATGTATCTATTTATTCAATAACAGTGGTTATTATTCCTTAAAAGATATCTTGTAAAACACACTTCTTCACAGACCTGACATGACCTGTTACTTGGCCTGATGGCAACATCTGCTTTGTCCCATGGTCATTTTGTGGAACATTCCAGCAAAGCAATAACATCTCCATGGAAACAAGCAGATTGATGACACTACATCAGAAAAGTTACATAGAGCACCTTTAAGTGTAATTTAAAGTGAAATAAAGAAATAATAATAGTTTCTACTTTTTTGACAACATGCAACTGACTAATGCAAGAAGAAAAGAAAAAAACAAATAAGAAAAGAAGAAAGATAGAAATAGATTCCAGCCACTGACATTTTAATACTCACCATCCATTGTCCAAAGTTCACCTGGCTGTATCCTGTGCAAGGCTGAATTAATCTCCGTTACAGTGGTCTGGACAGGCTTTCAATAAACAGCCAAAATTGAACGTTGCACAATCTCCCTCTGTAAACCTGCACTGGGAGGAAAAAACAGTTATTCAACAAACACAAGTTTATTTGAAGAACAGACAAGTAAAAACGAAGAGCTTTTGGGGCCTGTACTCCATATGACAGCAATTTGGGGTATTGTGTATTTTGGCCGAAGCGTGTGGCCCGTGATGGATGACAGGAGAGAAATCACGAGTCTCTGGCCTCAGCACAGACATGCAAATTGCTTTCAGCTGATTACAGTATTCTGTTTGATATTTATCATGCGCCGCAGGATATGGCTCTGAGAATACAGCAGGAAGCAGCTGATCAATGAGAAACCTGGGGGTCCAATGCTTAAATGTTACTGGTAATAATCGTATTTGTTTGTTTATGTTTATTCTGACTGGATTATTGTTATGCATGCTTAGTCAAAATAAAGCCTAAATTCCATGTAATTTATTGGAGGCATTGTTAGTTTTCTGTCATTTCACACAATACAAATGAATGCACTCCCCTTTCCCATAAGACCTTTGTTTTTCTCACATTCTTAAAGGAACCCTGTGTGCTATGTTACTGCAGGTGAAGTGAAATAACAAAATTAATACATTATACTCATGAAATTAATTTGTGTATAGCTATTAAAATCAAAATCAATTGATATATATTTCTATTATACTTTGCATAATAACAGAAATATTGACATATAAATGGACATAGCTAAAGCATTAACCACTGAGTTTCAAATAGGAAGAGAGCATGGGGCGCTTCTGGCTCCTACTAACCCTGGCTTCAATTGACTTTACATTGTAATATTGTCACCCCTGCCTCTGTAACTTCTGCAGTGAGCTACATCATTAAAAATGTTCGTATTAACCCGCTCTGCATGATCCTGGTGTCCATATTTGCCCCGTAACTGCTAGCATCGTGAACTTCAGTTGACTGGGTGAGGTCACACTCCCTTAGTCCACATCTTTATACTGTCTATGGATGTTACACGTTTGTCATTTTGGATCGACCCAAATGATTAACATTGTGATTTTAGGAGAATGAGAAATACAGCAACTATTTCTTACTGTGGGCCTTATAATATAAAGTTATATTAGAGTACTCATAGTTGCAGTTTCTCCACATGTTATTTTTAAGATATGTTGGAGTACTCATAGTAGCAGTTTTCATACTAGCAGCTTCTCCACATGTTATTTTTAAGATATGTTGGAGTACTCATAGTAGCAGTGCTCACAGTAGCAGTTTCTATACATGTTATTTTTAGGATACAGTATGTTGGAGTGCTCATAGTAGCAGTTTCTCCACTTGTCATTTTTAAGCCTATAAGCCCTGCTGCTCATGGCTCGTGCTGCGGTGTGTTTAAAGACCTGGGTCAAGGTGATCGCTGACTTACACAATCAGGTCCCAGCTCCAGAGGGAAACCACTTCCTTCCGAACACTCACCTGCAGTGACCCAAACCAATCAGAGACGAACAAGGCTCCTAATCATGAAGGGCCCTGTAGGTCAGCACCCACACACCCCCATCACAGCCCACCCAGCGTCGTCATACCCCCCCTCTCCATAATCCCACTCTCAGTTCAAGGGTTTACCTGTCACATCAGATCATTTTAAAGTGGAGGTGACTCGAACTGGGAGCACAGTGTGTTTAGTTAGATGCCGAATGTAATATCCTGCTCCTCTCTTGACTACAGCGGGGCAAAGAACGTGAAGGTGGCTGCTCTGGGCCACCCCTTCGCTCCGATAAACTGGGGAAGTGCATAAGGTTGAACAGGAAACGCAGGGCACAGCATGGGAAGGATCTATAACTTAGAGCTTAAGCAGGACTCCCCCTCTGTTTGTTTTGATAAGAGCTGCCTCGTATATGGAGCAGCCTGTGCCTGTAACAGTTTCAAAACACTTAACTGTGACCTCTAGCGCTGCATGATAAAATTACCCATGCAGTGGAAATGCATTCTGCTGACTATAACCTTTGAATGAAGAATAAAAAAGCCCACATCGTCTAACTGTGATTGTGTGAGAGCAGAAAAGAGCAAAGCGAAAAGAGGTCTTGTTTTTCTAATGTGAATGGGGCCAGCTCTATGACAACTGAAATATGGTCTCAAGTATGGCTCCTCCCACTGAGCAAAACTGTGACAATTGTATTTCCGAAAAACTGTGGAAATACAAGGGAGTATTCAAGGTGAGAGAGGTTTGTTATTTCTTGGTTTTCACTCATGTACTTCAGAAAAATACTTAAAATATAAAAATATTTCAATACTTTAGTTCAATATTCAGAATAATTTTAAGTATTCTGCTTCTCCATATTTTTACTTTTACATCAGAGAAGGGCCTACTGGTAGAAGTGGGTGAGAGGAGCATTGAGTTGATGACATCAGAAGACATTTCACTTCATTGTTGAATGTGGGTTAACTTGTATATGGCAAATAAAACTAATTCTAATCTTTAACTAATCTTGAAATGCTTGTTTTTTGTGTTTCAGATAATCTATATTGTACGTAATGTGTATACTGTTCACTGACCTGTAATTTCATTGGTGGAGGAGTCCATCTCTGTCCCATAGACCTGTGGATAAAGTCAAAGAAAAAAAACACAATGAAAAAAAAAAAAAATCTACTTCCATTTTTGTTCATAAAGGGTGTAACAAAATATTCATATAGTGAATGATACAGTATTAATATTTCAGACTGTATTTAATATATAATTTATTTTATGTAATATATTTCAGTATTTTTAGAACAATACAATTAAAAGAATAAAATAGTATTAGTTGACATATACTAGTATAGTAAACGGAGAGAAAAACAGATGTATTTGCCTATAATCCACAAGTTAGAGGGTACTTGGACTGTGAGATAAAGCTTAGGGGGGTACTTGAGACAGAAAAGGCTGGGGACCACTAGTTTAGGATATGGCCTATATTTGAAATATTCATGCAGCCTAAAGATTTTGCAATGTAGAACTGTGTAAAATGTATGTGTTTTTTTCAAATGACTAATAGATTGTGCAATTAAACTTTTTTGCAATCCCTAAGCAGAACATACTGTGATTTTGTCTCAGTATTCTTATTCTCATGTATGCATAGGAACCCAGTAATTCTCATCCCTTGCTCATGGTATGCACAAACAATGACTTTATTTTGACTGCTTTTACATTCAGATTAAACCTCATGTCCAGCACGGGCCTCTGCTGATCCACTTCTTCCACAACTGAACAGGAAGTGAAATAATGTGTAACCCGATCAAGTTGGAGGAAGCAGCCAGGAACAAGCCTTCAGTACTTTCACCAATCGTATTCATCACCAGAGCGCGAGCGAGGCCCGTTTAGACCGGAGCACGGCTTAACTAAACATCTCTTCTATAAAATAAATGCTTCCAGGTTACTCGCGGCGCAGGTTCACTCACAAACCCATCTGAGATCAATTACCAGGGATTGTATAGGAAGCACTGGGCCCAGGCCTCCAGCGCACGCCAAAGCTCCATGGCAACGCACAGCCACTCTCCTAACAGATACGAGGGCTTTCAGGCACTTGTGAAGCGGGAAAGGATGATTTGATAATGAGTTCCCGATGCTTCTCATTCTTTCTCATATCAATCATAGCCAACGTATGAGAAAAACACTGTAACTCAAATACAGTTTGATCTGGGGAAGAGGTTTTGTTGATGTAGCGAAGCTGGGCTGTGTGGACTGATGGAGATGAATGATACATGCACGCTTTTGTAGTTCACTATCATTTTGTGTTGTGAAATGTAAACCATAAAGAACACAGCAACATCTGTTTCACAAAAAGTTAGCAACAGCAAAGTCATATTTGAATGTAACTTTAATAAATGGTTGTGGAGACTATATAGAAATAGTACTTTTTATTAATTTGTTTCTTTTATTTTAGAATCCTTAAAGATGCACTAGATAATTTCTCTGGTGGGTGGTCCTGTATATGCTTGTCTTCATGGACATGTTTGCCAGGAATGTGCCGCAGTATGGCATTAAACACACAAATCTTGGAGGTACACTAATGATAGTATGTTTATGCGTTACCGTAGGATGAGTTAATATTTATCAATCACAACCATCACCATTGATTTTACCAGAGGTAAATGTACAAATGTTCTGAATGAATACAGCAAATGAGAAAGCCTGAGAAAACATATATGGGGAGGTCTTTTAGTGCCAGAAACATTAAGCATTTTAGTTTGAGTGAATAAGAAGTTGCTAAAGTTTCAAGTCTGTATTTTGTCCCCTTTCAGAATTAGACCTTAAGTAGCAGTATGTGTGAATTGTGTGAATCTCTCCAGTAAAACAACAGAAAAGTGCAGTATCTGTGTTTGAATTGGTCAGTGTTGGTTACAACCAGTATGTGGTTACTTAACTAAATTTTTTACAAAATGCGCAGTTGGTGCATTTTTTCTTTGTAGAGCAGTATACGAGACAAGCGGGTGGAGTATCCTACACCAGAAAGTTACAAAGTGCATCTTTAACATAAATATTTTGGATATCAGAATAGGCCTATTCCATTCATTTATAATTTTGTATAAATACATTATAAATGTATATGTATGTATATAATATATCTAATATACATATATTAAAAGTATATATTGGTAAAGGAAAAATAAAAGAAAAGTATTTTGTGCTGAATGTCATAAATCTCCAGCGATGTTTCCCGCAGGGGGCAGTAGACACCTTCCACTGTCAGTTAAGAAGCTTTTGTGTCACGTTCTTGGATTTATTATATTTGTTTGATTGCACAAATTCAAAGTTAAAATGGAAATTGTGTAACTTGTTTTCAAAAAAGAGTAGGAATATAGTAAAAAGTTACAGCGTGCACTTGGTCTATTTGCAACAAATAAATATACGATTATCATTACCCTATGTGTGAATTTCACGTTTACAGGAAAGAAAAAAAAACTGTCAAACCACGGCGACACCACCCTTTTCTTAGCACTCAAGGCGGCAATGTTTACCGCAACATCAACACAACATTAATCGGTAAAGAACACAGACTGTGGTAAAGAACCAAGAAGTGAGAAGCCTCACTGTGCACATTAGACAGAGCCATGGGAGCCACTAGAGGTAGGCTTGCTTGAGTGATAAATTAAATTTCTTGACAACAACTATTATTTGATTATAATATTTTTCCAATTTGACGGTATGCTTTTTAAAATTGATTTAGTGGTGTCCTACCTGTCCCTGATGGCGTTTCTGGGCTGTTTGCTTGAGAATTCAAGCGTTGCTGCTGCTGACTCAAATACTGGTAAGGGGACTCCTTCCTGCACCTGTTTTCATCATGGATCTATTAAAATAGTGGTTTTCATCCAAAGTCATTTGCACGTACCTGCATGATAATAAAATTTAGATTAACTTAGTTTGTATTGTAAATTTAAGATTAAATACATTTAACACAAAATACAATTAAACAAAAATATATGAAAAAATTTATATACTTAAGACCATAAATGGCATAGTCCTTTTCTCTATTTTTATTATAGAAATGAGATGCATCATTCATTTAATTGTAACTCAGGCTCTATGTAATATATTTTTAATATGGGCTATTGTTAGGTAATGTTAGTCAGTATCTTAAACTTCTGCAAATTCTGTGAACAGAAGGAAGCTATATTAGTAGTGGGACCCAAAGATAAGGGCAAGTAAAAAATAGTTGTGCTCATCAAACTAAAAACACAAAATAATATGTACTACATACAAACTTTCTGTATTATTATATTTGTATAGTGAAATTATTGTAAATATACCTATGGATGTCACTAATTCAGTTTTACAATAAGCCTACTAGCATCATTAAACCAAAAAGTTGTGAAATTTATTTTTACTTCATAAAAACGTTTTGCTACATGGACATAAACAGCCAATGCTTTTTTTTTTTTTTCTTTGCTTTGCAGTGAACCCTTGTTGTTACTACCCATGTCAAAACTCAGGAGTGTGCGTTAGATTTGGCACTGACCAATATCAGTGCGACTGCACCCGAACCGGTTTTTATGGAGACAACTGTACAGTTCGTGAGTTTAGCAGATTATTTTCAAGCTTACTAGTAGTGCTGGCTTTTAGTTGTTTTGTTTTTTTTTACATAATATACCTATAAACTTATTGGCAGAACAGTTAATTGAATTTTTGTCTTACAGCGGAGTTCGGGTCTTGGATTCGTCTCATGTTAAAACCCAGTCCCTTTGTCACTCATTACATCCTCACTCACTTCCAGTGGTTCTGGAACCTGTTAAATAACACTTTTCTTAGAGACACGGTCATGAGATTAGTACTCACTAGTAAGTATTTAAAGACCTATCATACTACTAGTTCTGTCATGTACCCACACACATTTGTGTAATTTCAGTCAGAAGCAATCTTATCCCCAGTCCTCCAACGTTCAACACTAAATATGGATACATAAGCTGGGAGTCCTATTATAACATCTCATACTACACTCGACTTCTACCTCCTGTGCCTGAAGACTGTCCTCTGCCAATGGGAACCAAGGGTACGTGAGATTAAATAAAGTTGAAACTAGCATTGACAATATCACATTATGTGGCCATTATGTTTTTGTAGGCAAACCAACTCTTCCTGATCCTAAAGTGCTAGCAGAACGATTCTTTAAGAGAAAGAAATTTAGGCCAGATCCTCAGGGAACCAATTTGATGTTTGCCTTCATGGCTCAGCACTTTACCCATCAGTTCTTTAAAACTAATCATGAAGTCAAAGGAGGTTTCACAAAGGCTTTGGGTCATGGTGTAAGTCAAATATATATAGATGTCTTCTGTAAAACTGTATTAATAATAACATACTGACGGTATCAGTGCTAATTTTCCAGGTGGATGCAAGTAATATCTATGGAGATACTCTGGAACGTCAACATCAACTCAGACTTCACAAAGATGGAAAACTCAAATACCAGGTTTATAGTCTATATAAAATCTATTGAAACTTCTACACAAGAGATTGAGCAAACATAGCAGGTAACATTTAGTTCTGTAACTTTGAATTTTCTCTGGATTATTCACAGTTAGTCGGCAGTGAGGTCTTCCCTCCCACAGTGTCTGAAGCCCCCGTGTACATGAGGTATTCACAAGGCCTTCCCTCTGAACAGCAGTTTGCGCTTGGTCATGAGCTCTACGGCATTTTGCCAGGCCTCACCTTGTATGCCACCTTGTGGCTGAGAGAGCACAACCGCGTATGTGACATCCTGAGAGCAGAGCATCCCTCCTGGGACGACGAGCAGCTCTTTCAGACCACCAGGCTCATCATCATCGGTACAGACCTTTAACATTCTTGACCTTGTACAGATCGCTTCATATTATATATAAATGTGTATCTTTTATTTTTCAGGTGAGATTATCAAGATCATAATAGAAGAGTATGTGCAGCACCTGAGCGGCTACTTCCTGAAACTCAAGTTTGACCCAGTGCTTCTGTTCAATGAGCGTTTTCAGTACAGTAACCGCATAGCACTAGAGTTCTGCCAGCTGTACCACTGGCACCCCCTGATGCCAGACAGCTTCATCATCGACGATGAAGAAGTCTCGTATTCACAGTTTATGTACAACACTTCCCTCCTCACACACTATGGGGTGGAAAAACTGGTTGACTCTTTCTCTCGACAAGTGGCTGGACAGGTAACACACAGGAGGATGTATGCATGAACCTTTTCAAGTTTAGTTTTCCATAAATTTTTTTAGTTTTCCAGAAAGTGAAATTAACCACTTATATGTCATTATTCACCTATACAATATATGATGACCAACATAATGCATCCTATACACTCTATGCATAGACTGCTATCAGGCAGGAAGTTCTGTGAGGGAAGTGAAACTTATTTTGAATGTCTCACAAATGGTGTTAATGATAGGTTTATTTTAGTCTGTGTTTTACATGCTGTACCATGTTGTGTTACTATCAAGATTATTGATATTTTACCTTAATTTCAGATTGGTGGAGGCCACAACTCTCATGAGACTGTGCTCAGAGTAGCAGAACTGACCATCAAGGAGTCAAGAGAAGCACGCATTCAACCTTTCAACGAATACAGGAAGAAGTTTAACTTAAAACCATATACATCCTTCTATGAATTTACTGGTAAGAAATACAGACAAATAAATGCATGTTATACAAAATGAGAAATTAGCACTCACATTTTTGGAAATGTTTTCAGATGACCCGGAGATGGCCAAAGGTTTAGAGGACCTTTATGGAGAAATAGATGCTCTGGAGTTTTATACAGGTGTGATGTTAGAGAAAGCACGGCCTGATGCCATCTTTGGGGAGAGCATGGTGGAAATGGGCGCTCCTTTCTCCCTGAAAGGTTTACTTGGAAATCCTCTCTGCTCACCGGAATACTGGAAGCCGAGCACATTTGGAGGAGAGACTGGTTTTCGCATAGTCAAAAGTGCAACTCTGCAAAAACTCGTGTGTCACAATTCAAAATGGTGTCCATATGTACATTTTCGGGTTCCAGGGAAGGAAGAGGAGGCAAACTCCAGAAAACCGTCTACTGAACTTTGAGATGTTTATTTATATTTATAACAAATTGGTTCTAATATTGTAATTTCATTCTAAAATTACAGTTTAAATGCATTTGTTTGTACAATAACATGCTTTGTCCTATGTTAGCAAAGAAGATATAAAATGCGTTATATAAAACAGATGACTAAGTTGTACAGGTTGCAGTTTGAATGCCTTTTTACACGGAAAACCATGACTCCAAAACAGTCCAGCAGAAACACTTCTTTCAACACACTTCTAACATTTCTACTCAAAGCAGCCTTTGTAAAAAGCAACACATATTCTATGTTTAAATTTGCTTTTGCATTTTGTGAAAAATAAATCAATCAAAAAAATAAGAAGACACCATCTTATCTTTTACAATTCCAGTTTTTCTTCCCAGTAAAACCTTGTTGAGTAAAATGTGAGACTAGGTCTGGACAGACAGATGTATGATTTATTTTATGATTATGGCACTTAAGTGAATCTGCTGCACTTGTGTGGAGGCAACACAACAATACATCCAATCAATGAACACGGCTATTGAGACTTTCACAAGAATTGGGAGCTGATTGACTCAGTTTTTTGGAGGCTTCTAAAACTCTATTGTTCCTGATAAATCATCCAGACAGATGTTTGTGTGAAGACATGGACCCATGACTGCAACGTACGAAACAGTGAAACATGTATTGTTGAAATATTTACTGAAATCTTTTGCTCCTTTGGTTTTTATAAGGCAGTAATAACAGTCAATGAGCTCTGTAATACAACTGATATTTATATAATCTGATATGTACAATTAAATATAAAAACATATTGTTTCCTTGGCAGGGTTACTAAAAAACTCATATAATATAGATTCAAAATGTATATCAAAATACAATAAATATCTAACTCTAAATTTAATAGATGCTATAAAGGTATAAAAATACACCTACAATGACAATACAATAACTACACTGTATTAGTTTAGGCCTATATCCATTAGTTCAATACATTTTGTTACAGTTGCAAGAAAATTAAAGTGAAGGTAGGTAATATACACATATACTTAAAGCAGCATCGCTTAACTTTTCTTCTAGGGGACCATACTTTATAACATTCTCCATGGTGATAAGTTAAGATAAGTTTGATGGCATACTGTGGAACATTCCTAGAAAAGCAATAAATTAGCTTAAAAATTTACTGTTCAATTATGTTACATGGTATATTTATATTATTTATTTAATTTATTTATAATGTGTGTTAGTACTACATTTCTTCTGTTAGGGAGGAATAAACTATTCACTACAGTTTAAGGAATGCCACAATTTTAAACTCACCACTAGAGGGCACTTTATGTTCATATGACAGAGGACTCCACCTTTAAAAAAGTACTTGTAGGCCTATCGTGATAATTACTACACTGACTTATCAATCAATATATGATTGATGCAACAATACTTTATGGGGGTCAGTATTTATTACCTCCGCCAAGAAGGTTATGTTTTTGCCGGCGTTTGTCTGTTTGTTTGTTTGTCTTTTAGCAACATAACTCAAAAAGTTATGGACCGATTTTGATGAAATTTTCAGGATTTGTTGGTAATGTGAAAAGGAAGAACTGATTTCATTTTGGGGGTGATCCGGAAGAAATCCTGGATTCTGGATCACTTTGAAATTTTAGTTAACATTGTGGTAAATGGGGCCAAAAATTTTTTTTCTCAATATCTCGGTTAATTATTGACCAAACCCCATGAAATTTGACTCAGGGATGGACAATGGGATCCTCTTTCATATTCCAAAGGCTGATCCGGATCTGATCCAGAAGACTGATTTTATCGCAATTTATATAAAAAATGGGGGTAGTCCTTGGCGGAGGTCTGCGCTCTCTGAGTGCTTTTCTAGTTTTATTTTTTTTCCTTTGTACTAGAAGGATTTTTTTTTTTTCATTTAAACTGAGTTGAATTATGAGCTAAAATTTCACAGTCTAATTATTTAAGTGTCGAATTCTACTCTATTGCAGCTCATGCTTTTTATAAAAATATACATTTAGAATACCTTTTGTGGATAATTCTGCTGTATGGTTTGGTTCTAATATGATGTTTATCTTCTATATTTACTTCAGTATATTTCAATATATCACACTTCAAAATTTGTTATTGTGATGGGTCTAAACTACTTGTCATTAACTCTCTCTTGACTGCTGGCCAGTGGAGCAGTTAGCATTGAACTTGCGTTTATTTGTGTGCTAGACTGTACTGAAATAGATGGATTGCTCACTGGATGAAAATGTACATCTACAGCTACATTTGTCACCCCAAAAGACACTTGGTGAGAGAGGAGCAGGGGAGAGCTACTATGTGAGATACTCAAACTGTGATGGATTGGGGCAGTGGACAGCTCACCACTCTGCAAAGTTAAGGAGGAGCGTAGACCTTCACTCAGTTTGGGTGTTAAAGATGGTGAAGGGGAGGGGGTGGGTAAGGGAGAGGGGGGAGGCAGGGTGTCTTGGCATGGACTGTGGTTGTCATCTGCGCCACTCAGCCAGTCCTCCGCACACTGCAGCTGGATGCTTGGCTGGGAAAGGCTCAGACCACTTTCCTCCTCCAGTGAATGATCAATCTAAAAGACACCAATAATATTTTTATTCTGATGGTACAATATTTTTTACCACATTTAGTTTAATATGACCAGTCTATAAATTAATTTGTGAGTCTTGTTTACCATATCACACCTATACAGCTATCTAATGCTATATAGAGTATAAGTATAAGTAAGTATTTAAAGGTGCACTATGCAAATTTTTAGGTGGAGGAAATGCCACCTGTCTCCATGGGGCTGTTATGGCTATGGAATGTATAACATCTCAAGGGGGACAAGCATGTAGAGGAACTTTCACCACCAGAAAAGCTATTAAATGCACCTTTAAGGGAAAAAAAGGAAATTTGTATTCTTGAGTGTGAGATCATGTAAAGTAACTTAATGTAATTTCTTTAATACAGGTTTAAGATACTGTAGTGCTAAATTTAAATCTAAACCAGGAAAACAACCTTTTGTATAACATTCTCATTTACTGGATTTCTTCTACAAACCTTTGTGTCGACAATGGGCTCGGGGTAGGTCTCTACAGTGACTGAGTGGAGGTCTGGACTTGGTGGGACGTCCTGCTCTTCAGAGGTGGGCTCCAGCTGCACAGTCACCAGACCAGGGCCTGGGGGCCGTGCCCGAGTGTTAGGGCTCTGCTCTATCACTGCCACACACTCATCATCTTCAAAAGCTCTGCACAGAATTTAGATTGTTTTGATTCATAACTGTTTTGCACTGAAATATTCACAGAGCAGTTATAATTTCAGAAGGTCAGCATATTATATATCACCTGTTTTCATAAGTCCGACCTGCAGTTCGACGACTTGTGTTTCGCATGGGGACGCCTACATTTCTTTGAGCTGTAAACATAATATTTTTAAGTTTATTTATGTACTTGCCACTGGGCTAGACCAAGTTAATAACAATTATTTAAACCTGCTCTGTTTGTTGGGACAGGCTCATTTTTCTGGACCATAGAATAAAAAGTCACTGTGATAAAAATAAATGCCAAGGACACGCCAACTCCAACCACAATGGGGATGTCATGTTTCTCCAGGACTGGCAGCCATGACGGAGCCTGCTGAGTCACTCTGCAATGAGAGACATATAAATAAATAGCAATTATAGTAATTATAGTAGTTATACTGGATATCAGGGGTAACCAAAACATGACGCAGGAGCAAAACGGATCCATCAGTCCAATTTTGTTTACTATTTGCTAAATTTGCACATACTGTACAGCTTTTAACTCTAATGAAAGGATCTGTAAAGGATGATTAACAGAAAAGTTGATTGTACAAATTGCTCTAAATTCCAACTTAAACCTCTCACTTAAGGTAAACTGCTAAAATGTACTTTTTATTATAAAAATATATATAAATTCCGCTACGAGTGTCCTATGTTGTCCCCCACCACACTTCTTATAATTGTAAGTATGCCACCCTAAATAAATAAAATTAAATAAATTGGTAACTCATAACTCAACCTGGGTGACTGGGATGTGCTCTTCTCTGTAGCCTCCATGGACTGCCCTCCTTCACTTGTGTCCTCTTGCTTGGTTATATTCACCACAGGGAAATCATTGACCAATGTTGATGCATTGTAAGTCTGATTAATTGGATGGCTATTTGAAAGGGTAGTTTGTAGATCCATGGAATAAGATGTTGTTTGATTTAACAAGAAAGTTTCAATATTTGGCAGTGAATATTTTGAGTTCACATGAGATTGTTGGGTTGGGAATACAGGAGACTGAATTTGAAGAGGTGTAGACAACGTAGGTTTTGCCAATGATGAAAAATCTGTATAAGCTTGTATTTGCCTATATATTGAAGAGGATTCAGAAGTTGTATGGGGAAGTGAATAAGACATTTCTGAATGAGGTGATGTGAGCTGATGTCCTTGTTTTAAATGCACTGGTTCTCTTGGAGGCTCCAGCCTTGTATGAGGATTTAAAGTTGTTTCATTATCAAGTTTAGACGAGACTATATTTGAATCTCTATTTTGAGATTCAACTTGCAAAGGAGGAGGGCTTGCTCTAGTTACAAAATGAGATGTAGTTTCTAAAATGCCAATTGTTGTAAGCTCAAATAATCCATGTTGTTCTCCCTCTGCATTTTGCTGTTTATAAACATTTAAGCTCTGAGTTGGACCATCTGTATATTTTGATACGTCGAAAGTAGACTGACTTTTCAAAGGTAAATTTTCAGTGTAAGTGGGGTGACTAGATGCGGAAAGTTGGTGCTGGAGATTTGAGGACTTGAAATTTGGATGAGGTGGAGGAGGGAAAATGGGAGGTGGCATCTGTGTCACAAAATATTGACTGTGACCACTGGAAGGAGGAAGTACATGGAGACTGGGCAGTTGTAGTATCCTCACTGAAATACTCAGTCAGTCCAGAGTTGTCTGAGGAAATACCTGAAAATTGTGAACAGAATACAGTTTCAACTTTGGAGTAATGCGTGTACTACAGATAATAGTAGTAAGTAGTAGTAGTAGTAAAAAATGGAGGAAAGAGAGGCCTGAAATTTAGAAGACTAAGTAAGTGTAGTAGTAAGCGTAAAAAACGAGAATAAGATAAAGTGCCTTGATGAAAAGTTGGTTGTGAATATTTCAAACAGATCACTTTGTCACTTATAAATGTATTCACAGAAGAACCTAAAATGTACTTAAAGGTGCACTATGTAACTTTTCTGATGGGGAGCCTGCCACCTGCTTTTATTCTTTTGACCTAGAATGTTTCACAGTACAACATTATATATTACAGATTTTGCACATAATCAGTTATTAGTGTTTTACTTGATATTAATTACAAATTATTTTGAAAAACATGCATTCTTACCTCTCCACAGATTTGACCTGTCACTTTGCCTTGTGGTACTGGCATCAACTGGTTGTCTCCATGGAGATAGATTACTTTAATACCATACATTGGAACATTCACTTCAACATTTCCAAAGAGACAAGCAGATGGCAGACCCTCCACCAGAAAAGTTGCATAGTGAACCTTAATCTAAGCAAAGTACCTCAATATAATAATTAACAACATATCAACATAATTAACAGTAATTGACATAATTACTACCCACCTCTAACAGTTACTTAC